CACAGAAGGCTCTTAGCTTAGGAAATTGCTGTAGTTTTTATTTAGCCTGGTAACCTGTTACCACAAAGTTGTATGTCAGGCTGCCTATCTTCTCAGTCTAGATGTCCTTCAATTAAAGGAGTCATAATAGGAGTTCTGACAAAGGTACTAAATAGGTGTTTGCCTTCTGAGCAACTTGGTGTAAATTTTAAGTAGGCTTTTACATGGTTCTCAGGACTTCTTTTGGTGGTTGTTTGGGATTCTTCTGTTTGCGGTACTCCTTGTGATTCTCCCCCTATATTGAGTGAACCTAACAGTAGAATAAAGTTGGTTTTACAAAGGACGTTTATTTCTTCCTTTCAGAGAGTATCCAAGCAGGGATACTTCTTATAGTGTTTAAATACCAAACTTGAAATGGAATTGTAAATATAAATAATGCTTTCTAAATATGCATTCACACATACAAATTAGTTACTCAAGTTTTGTTCTGGAAAAAAAAAAAAACCAGGGACTGTATTAGATTCTTGTCACTGTGACAAAATATCTGAGGTAATCAACTTAATAAGGGAAAAGGTTTACTCACAGTTTCAGAGGTTTCATTCTATAGTTAGTGGCTCTGTTGTTTTGGAGTGTGACAGCACAATACATCACTATACATCATGTGGCAGAAAAGGCCACTTCACTTCATGATGGCCAGGAAACAGAGGAAGAGAGGGGAGTACCATAAGGACCACCCCTTAAAGACTTCCTTCCTCTAGAACCACACCTTCTAAAGGACTTTCCCAAAAGGGCCAGAGGTTGGGAACCCATCCTTTCAACATATGGGCCTTTGTGAGACATTTCAGATCCAAACTGTAGCAGGAACCCATTTTGGTCCATTTTGTTGTGTGTGGCCCTGCTCTGGAACTCAAGACTATGCAAAAATGGAGATCTTTCAGACGGTATTCTTGTAGAATAATTTTTAAAATGGGATTTAGGTGATTTTCTGTCATCCACTTCCTCCCACTGCTGTTTAGGATGAATAAACTGAGATAAATATAAAAATTTGGTGTCATTTACCAAAGTGATTTTAATTTAAAGGCTTGGAGAATACTCTGGTGTTATTAGAATAAGTAGCTACAATGCTGAGTTCTTTTCTTTTTCGGGATGTTTCTGTTAAGATGCAAACTAGGTGTTTTCCAATACCCAGCTAACAGACTAATTACTGCTGTGATTGCTTTTAAAGTACACAAATTTTACATAATTAAAAAAATCCTTTTACCATTAAATGGGAAGAACTGAGTAAAAAAGTAGTCTGAATTGTTAATAAAACAAGTCCAGTCTGCTGTAAAAATCACAGTATATAAAAGCCTTACTCTATTAAAATAAATGTTAACAGGCAAAGAATCACCATTGGATTTACATCTTCTTTAAAGTACAAAGCCATTACAAAAAGGTGCTTTTTCAAATGTGAACATTCATCTAGCTGAATAGAAACTGTTCCATAAAGTTAAAGTATGCGACTTCAGGATGACCACAAGGATTTGTCATAGTTAATTTAGAGTATACTTGGGAACATTATCCAAAAAATTAGTATTTTTGTTTAAACATTGTCAAGATTTTTAGAATTTGAAGTAAGGATAGGATATTGTTAAGCCACTTGATTAAACTATTTCCTGAAAATTCAAAAATGTCAAGTAATTTAAAGCAGGTAGATTGTATGTCTTATCTCTTAGTCCTTACTACTAACACTCTGTGTGCTTACAGAGGAAAGATGGAAAGAAAGGTGAAATAACAGCTCAGTTCTTTATATAGCTGCTTTGAGCAAGGAATTATTTAGTCATCTAAGACGAATACATTTCTTTATGAAGATGTGCTGTATTTCCCTGCAGCTGAGAAATCAGATGAGCACAATACTTATACTAACTGAAATTTACTTGAAGGGGCTGGCTCTGCTATTGGCTTCTAAGATAATTTAGGGGAAAAGTGAACTATTATTCTAGATTTGTATGTTTAACAATCAACCTTTTCAAAATTAGGCAACATAGCCTTATTTTTTTAAGTTGATCACTCTCTAGTTAACATTCTAACACTTTCTAGTTTTGTGTATTGATTTTATTTTTGTATTTCCTTCAGGTTGGAAAAATAGGATAACATTTCTAGAAAAATGCTTTTAACTTTGAATCATTTCAATCATTCTGTTGAATCAAAATCTCAAGTGATTTTAGGCTCATTCAGATAAGCTGACCTCTGAGTTTAAGTACTGATGTTGCTGCATTTTAAAATACATAATTTATTTAATCATAAAGTGATCTCATTTAACCATGTTTTGTAGAATATGTCAACCATTTTCCTTAATTTGTGAAGGACAACACTATGAAAAGTGTCTGGCTTTATATAACTACAATAAACAGTGTATCACAAATAATAAGTAAATATCCTTTTAGCAATTGTAATAAATTGATCTCTGAAGCTGTAAATATTTTTAAGCATTGTTTCTTGAAATAAAGCTTAATAGCTTCTTTTTAATCTTGAGATTTAATTTATAAAAATAAATTGAAAAGATTTATAGACACCTTTATATAATATAAAATACAATACCATATTTGTTTATTTGGTGACTCCTGCTCTCACCTGTTGATTGTGTTGTTAATTTATCTTTGACTCTCATTGCATAGCTCCACGGCTATATCATGAATAGAAACACTACTCCTTAAATAAATAATACCAACAAGAAAAGCACAAACATGTGTACCAGTTATTCAGTAAAAGAAGCTGTCTAATTGTTTTATAACAGTCCAGGTTTAAATTAATATGGAATAATAAAATTCTTTGACATTGTAGTAGTTGGAATCAAAGGATATTAAGACTGCCACAGTTCTAGAAACTAAAATGTTCTTTACATACAACTGTTGATCCTTGTGAGCTCAAAGTATGTTCATCTGATTTAAAATCTTTGGTTAATGGTTTCAGCAGAATAATAATTTGGATGTGATGCATTGTGTTGAAGCTTTATATGGTGTCTTAGTTACTTTTCACTCTTGTTGCTTAGACAAAATACCTGACGCTAAACATGACAGAAGGAAAGGTTTATTTCTTACAATTTTGGAGGTTTCAGTCCATACTTAGCTGGCTCTAAGCAGCAGAGTGGCATGGCGGGCTGCCATTCATGGCCAGCTGCAAATAGCAAAGCACAAACCAGCCAGAGAGAGACAAACCTTCCCACAGCTACATCTTATCCTGGATCCACCCCTGGGTGGTTGAAACACTCATTCCACCAATCCAGTTGCTAGACAATGAACCAATCACAAATGCTTGATTTGGTTGCATCCATAATTGCTTGAGGCGTGGGGGCCACTGACATAAACAATGACATATAACTAGCTTTCTAAAGTTTTTCCAGATGTGCATAGTCTTCCTAATATTTTTTTCTGGTTTTGTTTGAGACAAGATCTCACTATATAGTCAACTATATAGTTTGGGCTGGTCTTGAACACACTGTGTAGCCTAGGCTGGCCTTAAACTCATGTCTTATTGCAGCCTCCAAAATGCTGGGATTATTCTAAAAAACATGATCAGTATTTGCTTTGACAATAAGGCCTATTATTTGCAATAGCAGAGCCTGGAAACAACCAAAAGTCCAAGTGAAAAATACTATAACCATTGTGTCTACCAAAATACTAATTCTTAAGAATAACTATCATAAAATACACAAAATTTTATATTTAGTGCATGACAGGTTCTAAAAGAACCAGTTTACAGTTAAAGATGTAGTTTAGTGTAGAGAGCTTGCCTAGCATGTACCAAGTCCTGGGTTTGACCTGCATCTGCGAAGAAGAAAAGAAAAAATGTATGTATACCAAGGAAGGCTGGACAGGAGTCTGAGTAACTTCATCCTCCCTTGTTTGCTTTCATATCCTGAAATATTTTCAATGATCATTTTATTATTTTAATGGAAAAGTGAACTTGAGGAAAATGTTCTTGCTATCCAGATGCTACACTATATTTTTATAATTGAATTCTAAAATCTCAAGCATTTATTTTAAAAAGAATTCACAAAAATTTTTAAAAATTAAAAACAGCAGCAAAAAAAAGTAAATTCACTTGGACTAAAACACCACCCTGAAGAAAAATTGTTTCCCTGATTCTTTATTTTCTGATTTCAAGGTCATACTTTTGTTGAAATGCTACTTAAGGTGTTACATTAGAACACACACAATATTATATAAGACAGGCTAAGTAATAAGCTCATCTCTGAAAGAAGATGGCAATTTGGATTTAAAAGCCATTACAGATTTGTTTATTTATTTTGGCTGAACAAGTCTTTTCCTCTGTTTATGCTTGTCATTTATTTTTTGTTCTCTTTCTGAGCCCCAGTAAGCAAACATTTATTCTCAGGGACATCATTCCACGTCTCTTCTGAGGACTTTAATTTTGTATATGTTCATCTACAGCAAATGTTCAAAGCCTGTTGTTAATCTAAAAATATAGTAAGAAACCCTAGAAAATTTTGCCTGAAACATTACTCTGTACCAAGGCACTGTTTCATAATTTAATATTGCTTTAGTTCTTTTTAATACAGATGTTTATATGTTAATCTTGTTTGCAGTTGGTGATGGTCTATCTGTTCTCATTTTATACTGTTTTCAAGACAGAACTGAGGCCACTGTACCCAGCTGGAAAATTTTTGTGTGTGAAATTAGTTCTTTTCACATTTTGTTAAATGTTGCTTTCTCTTAAATGTTCTCAGTTTTCTAAAGGGTAATAAAAATGTTGATTTTTATGTACCATTAATGCAGAAGATGGATTAAAATGTCTCTGCTTGAAAATAAGTTCAACCTGTTAGCCCTCCCAGGATTTTCATGAAGAAATAATTGGATGGTCACTGTCTTATGTATCAAAAATACTTTGAAATAAACTGATTTTCTCAACACTAAAGGCATCATTAAAATAAATCCTGGTCCTGCTGCCATAATAGAATACTATGAAAGAACACATGATGTATATTGAATGATATGAAAAATATTCATCAGTAAATACTCTTTAAAATGAAAGACAAAACTTTATGTGGTTTTGTTTAGTAAAAAGGACAGGTTAGGCTTCTCCAAACAAACAAAACAGTACACCAAATTTAACAGAATAGCAACAATACACAGAAAAGAAAACAAGAAAAGTTCATCAAATACTACTGCTAGAATGATTAACATTTTGATATACATGTGTCCTATGTAAAACTGTGCAGAAATAATTTTATATTATAAAAACTTATAGAACTGAATAATACATGTTCAGTATATAGTAGTTATAGTTCTTTTGTCAGTAAAGAGAAATATAATTTTATTGTTTCTATTTTTTCTTAGTATTATGTTTTATAGCTATAACTTGTTAACCAAATTTTTACTGACATTCCTTTTCATCTTTAAAGAATCATTGAAGTGATTATTTTTATAGGTTTCTGAGAGCTCATCTATCTCATTATATGCTATTGTAATTAGCATGGGGCCTATGTGGTGGCACATACAATCCCAGCTATTTGCAAGGCCAAGGCAACAGGATCACAAGTTTGAGGATGGCCTGGACAGCTTAGTGAGATCCTACCTTAAAAAATAAAAAGGCTTGGGGGCTGGAGGTTTAGCTCAGTGGCATAAGCGCCTGCCTCGCAAGCAGGCAGTAGTGAGTTTGATCCCTGGTACTGATAAAAAGGAAAAAAGACAAATAATAATAATAATAATAAAAAGGCTTGACATTGTAATTCAAGAGCAATAGGACCCAGAGGCTCTGGGTTTAATCCTTAGTACCACAAAAAGTTTTAAGAAAGAGAAATTAACCTGAAGCATTATCCCTATTTACTTGACATTCTCAACATAACTTGCTGTCTTGGAGTCTGACCTTTTTTGAGTTTGTCTACAGCTCCAATAGTCACACTACTGATTTAAAAATTATTCTTTATTTTCTTCTTCTTTTTTTTTTTTTTTTTGGTGTAGGGGATTGAACTCATGACCTCATGCTTGCCAAGCAGGTACTTATGCTGCTGAGCTAAATCCCCAGCTTGAATTCTGTTCAAATAGAATATTACTGCTAGTCATAGTAAAGTAAATATAAGTCTCTTTTGGCGTTTTTAAATCTTTAAAAACTCTAAGGAATCATATCAAACCATATATATTTCAAGTTCCAATGTCTTTGAAAAAGATGAATAGGATTCTTGCAGGAGCAGTTGTATGTTGGATAAATTAATAAGCCTTGTTCCAGTTCTATCATTTTATTGATAGAACTTGTAGTGTAATAAATATCAATATCAGAAAGGTTTTCATTTCAAATAAGTAATGTCTGTAATACCTTATTTATATAGTACATATCAAATACCCTATTTACACAATATGGACACACATAAACTTTGTATATTTATACATTTAAAATTCATGCATCACTGATTTTCTACTAAAATTTTGAAGCTTCTTTAAGTTGCTTAAAAGTCATATTTGAAATATGATTAAAATGATTTGGAACAATTTTACAGCTTAACTAAGTTCTAAATTTATTTCTGGAGTTAAGTGCAACACAATATCAAAAGTCAATCTGACTTACATGGTGTAACCCTTCTAAAAGTGTCTCCAAGAATGTAGCATTTTTCATGGCACAAAGTCTTTTGATACCACCATGTCATGAATGTGTTGTTCCACACCAATATAGACATAAAAATCATACAGTACTTGGTAATAAATAGAAAATATTTTACATAGCATCTTAGTGAGGTAAGCTTGTGTTATGTCCTTTTTATAAAACAAGAAAAAAAGCCGTGAAGACATGTCTGGACTTGTACAGGAGAAGTCATACAATTACTAGTGAAGCCGATGATACAAGTTTAGTTTTTGGAGCTTGCTGAAATACAATAATGGCATCATTACCATCATTCTGCAGTGAAAATAAACTTGTGATTGAGGCATATTTTACTCCACATTAAATCTGTGTACTTCATTTGTACAACATGAATAAAAGACATGACTATGTAGCATGCATTGAATGAATCAGATACCAGAATGCAGTTTTTTGTTCCTTTAATTAATTAGCATCATTAAAAATAGTGAATCTATTAATAGCTAAATACTAAAAGAAAAATCCCTGACACGTGCCTTTGGTGGGCAGAGTGACGGGAACACCAGCACCCAGGACAGCTCACCCCATGCAGACTGGTGCACACATGCCTTTTGAGGATGAAGTGATCAGCAAGATGAGCAACCTGGGAGCCTCTGAAGCTCGAGGAGCCAGCAGTTAGGCTCTGGAGATCTCCTCCGACAGAAGACCAGTCCCAGCCCCCGCATGTAGAGCCCAAGACCAGCTCCACACCCAGCTCGGTCCCCACGGCAAACTGGACCTCATGGCAAGCAGCACATTTCTGGGATCTGACACGGACACTACCACAGAACTCTAAACATCAGAGCTATTTTACTACTTTTGTTTTCCCTTGTTTGTCTGACTGACTATCCTTTTCCTGTCTGGTTGGATGTCCTCTTGTTTTGTTTAGTATTTTGTGGTTATTTTCTCTTTGGGGTTTTTCTTTTTTCCTCTGTTTTTCTTTTATGTTCTCCTTGTTCTTTTTTTTCACAATTTAGGTTTCTTATCTTCTTTTTTTTTTTGTTCTTTTCTACTAGTCCTCTTTCTCTTTCCTCAGCTACTACTTGAATTTAAATTTGCATGGTTATTTCTGGAAAATTCAAGTAGGGAAATTTTCACTGGCTATATTTACATTTCTGAACCCTTTAAAATGTTGTATAATGACTATAGAAATGTATATATAATTTATTTGTATTTGAAGAAGGAAGAAAAGAGTATATGGCCATGAGTTGTCAAAGATCATAAGTGATACGGAAAGAAGGCCTGACTTGCAATTACAATAGTTTTTTTATCACTTCTCCATCGAACAATGAAGTAAGAAGATACGCTAAGTAAGACTTCAAAGAATTCTCCTATTTCCTATTTGTCCTGTTTCTTTCCCTCTTGTTTCTGTCTGGAATACAATTGTAATAACTGGAGCTCTGGCAGTCACCTGGAAGCTAAAGGTAATTAGAAAAACAGAAGTGATAGATATTAGTTTTTTTAAAAAAGTGACCTTATCAGAGAAAGTCAGCCGTGTGGTAAAAGCACAGAATTGAGAGTCACAGAGATCTTGGCTCTGAATGTTTTTTTTTTCTACTTGTAGTGTGACCTTTGGGCCTTGGACTCAATTTATGGCCAATAGAAAGTGCTATGTATATGTTGTGTATTGCTGTTTATTTTATAAAGCCCATAGGGAATATTTATAAAATAGGTAGACCATAAAACTATTCTGTATGCATTATAATATATACTTGTCAAATATCAGGATATATAGAATAAAAAGAGACTAATAAAGTTAATTATCCCATTATTTCTGAGCTGGGTGAAAATGATAAATTGAAAGGGGGCATTTTATTTCATCTGAGCACAACTTTTAGTTGCTGTTAGAGTCCTCAGGAAATTTTTTTTTTTATTTAAAGAAAAGGAAACAAAAAAATACATGGAGATAAAAAAGGGTAGAAATAATACAAGATTACAGAAAAATAAACGGTAAGAAATCGCTAGTTGATAAGTTACATATTGTCATCTTAGAAATAGCTGTTCAGGTTACAAAATTAAAGTATGTAAAATGACATTCAAAAAGTGACACTGCAAACAGTTCTGCTCAATGATCGAACAAAAACTCAGTAATATGGTTATCAGTCCTACACACTTGTTTTATATCTCAGAAGGTAAGATTAAACATCAAAATAGAACAAAACAGTTAAAAAAACATTTTAAAGAAATACAGATTTCAAAGCAAGTCCACTGGAGATCTTCACTGTTTATCTAATTGTCTCTAGTTTTTTACAAATAGTTGTCCCCATCTTCACGCACATTAAATACATATTGCATATTATAGAACTAATCAAATCATTATAGGATGATGATTACAATATAAAATAACTTGGAAAGAAAAGTATATTCAGGTCACATTAACTTTGAAGTTGTCTTATTTCACATATTAAGTTAGGTGATAAAAAATTAGAACAATCTTGGAGAAGAAAAGGGTCTGTGTTTCTGGACACTGCAGTGAGCCCCCTGAAATGCTGAGTAATGAGATTTTCATATAGGGAAATAGGCTGGGGATTTAGCTCAGTGGCATAAGCGACTGCTTGGCAAGTGCAAGTTCGGGATACTGGGTCTATCCCCGGTACCAAAAAAAAAAAAAAAAAAAAAATGCATATCGGAGAATAAATTCTCTGGTATTTTTGTAGTCAGGGATTGCAAGGAAAATAATTTAATACAGAGCATATAATTTATAGGCTTATTTTATAGTAGTTACCCAAAGAGTCAAATACTAAAAAGTGCAGGAAATCTTTCCACACAGTAAAGACCCAAAGAATCCCATGACAATGCCCTGCATGAGTCCAGCTAAAGACCTAGAGCCCATGACAGTGCCCGCTATGAGTCCAACTAGAGGCCTAAAGCCCATGGCAACGTCTCATGCAAGTCTGTTTCACAGGTCTGCTTTGGGAAGGCCCAAAGGTCAGTGGTGAAAGCCAGAAGGTCTGGGCCAGCAGGATGAAGGATCTGTGCCAGTAGGCTGAGGGTTCTGCACTATAGCCCGAAGGCAATGCGGAAGGTAAGGACCAGAGCTCCCCTGAAAACACCACAGTCATCTTAGTGACAGTGAAGTTCCAAGCTCCTCCGATGATAACAGCCAAGTTCATATCATGAAAGCCAGGTGACAGGGAGGTTGAGCAGCACACTATCTTCCCTTATAGGGCAAAGGAGCTCTGGTTCAAAGTAGACCACAAAGTGCACCACAGCCATTCTCAGTGACAACAAGATCCTGAGCTCTTCCAGTGATGAAAACAGCCAAGTTCATGTCAGGAAAGCCAGCACGACAATCTCCTCTAAAGAACCAATGGAACCACCTCTTCCTTTCCAGGTCTCCTTTTTTTTTTTTTGCTGTTGGCAACAATTCTCAGGTGGGTCTTCCACACCCACCTGATTCAGTGCAGCTGTATGTTACAAGTCAACCACCACTTGTCCACTCATCACATGTATTTAAACCAATATAATTCAAGCCTCTATTACTCTTAAATATATCTAACCTGAATTATTTTTTTTTAATCTCAAAACTGAATAGTAAAAGCACATCCAAATAATTCTGTTAAAAAATGAGCAAAAGACATTAAAGAGACATTCTACAAATAAAAGATATAGCAAGGACAAACAAACATATGAGATGATGTATGCTATCATTATTCACTAGGGAAATGCAAATTAGAGCCAAAATAAGATGTCACTTTAATCAGAAGGGGTACATTCAAAATAGAGATATGTACTCTGGGGGTGCCAAGCCAGGAAGATCACAAGTTTGAGCCCAGTCTGGACAACTTAGTGACCTCGTGTCAGTGAGACTATCTCAAAATAAGGACTGGGGATGTAGCTCAGTACAAAGGCCTTGAGCTCAGCTGTTTATCCCTGTGTCTCTTGTCTCTGTCTCTCTGTTTTTCTCTCTCTCTCTTTCTCTCATATGCTTACTTGCACAAGACGATACTAAATACTGCCAAAGATGCAGAGAACATAGATTACTTATGCATTGTTGGGGAAAATATATCGTGATATAGGTGCTCTTTAAAACAGTATGGCAGTTTCTTTAAAAATTACACACAATTACTATATGACCCTGGCTGTCTAGTCTAAAGGAATGAAGACCTATATTCACATACCTATAAATGAATACTTATAATAGCTTTATTCACAGTATTAAAACTGGATGTCTAGAAAAACTTGTAGGGAGCTGTGGAAGCTAGAAATTGATTATGCAGGGCCGGGGCATGACCATCCCAAGAACAATGAGCGCCTGGGGCAAGCCATGTGAAGAAGTTGCTTCAGCTCAGAGAAGCACCAAGCCCCTGGACAATCCAAGCAATGGGTTGCTAGGCAAAGAGGTGCCACGTAACAATGTGTATAAATAAATGCCCTTAGTGAGGGGGTAATTTCTTTCCTCTCATCCAGAGAGTAAGGGCTCAGTCTGATTCCAACTTTCATCTTTTTAAAAAATGTCTCATCTTCTCATGGTCCTTCACCCTAAAAAGTTCAAGAGCCACATAGGTCATACCAAAAACTGGCAAATCCATACTAAGAAATAATGCTTAACTTCAAGGAAAGAATGAACTACCAATATATGCAACAATCTGGGTAAATCTCCAGAGAAACATACTGAGCATAAAAAAGATAACTCCCAAAGACTATTGTATTATTCCATTTACACTACATTTTTTGAAATTACATAATTATAAATATGGAGAAAGGATTAGGTGTTGTTAGGTGACAAGAAGAGGGAAAGAGAAGGAGGAAATTTTGGTATTCTTTTGGTGATGGAAATACTCTATCAATGTCAACATCCTGGTAGTGACATTGTACTAGAGTTTTGCAAGCCATTATCATACAGAAAATTGACTAAAGGACTCATGGGATCGCTCTGTATTTTATAACTGTATGAGAATCTACAATTATCTCAAAATAGTTTTATATATACATATGAAACATTTCACTTCAATACACCACAGAATTTACTGTGGAAGGATCTTAAGAGTAAGCACAATATTTAAAAGTGGGGATACAGATCATTTGGTAGGACTTGCATGAAAAATAGAGGAAAATTATTTGCAAGGATATACACCACTTTAGCTGTTTTGAAAGTTTAAAATGGTTGAGAAATAGAGGTCAGAGAAGGTACTTCTGGGGGTCACTATTGTGCTGTTAGCTCACCTTCCTGCTCATGGAGGAAGAGATGACACCCCCATCCCTCTGCAGAGGGGAGAAAGTTGGGAGAACTTAAGCACTGAGGGATGTGGGAGTGTTTACTTCACATCTGGAAAATGGAAAGTACCAGGATGGTTATTGGTTGTTCAGAGGGAAGGGATAAGACAGGGTAATGAGGGTGTTTACAGTGGACACTGCATAATAGGATTTCTGGTTTTCCTGAATTCCAGCAGTAAAACATCATTCCCAGAGTCTGTGGGCAAATAATGTGCCTTTCCAATGTACCAAATGTGGGCCAGATGCTTAACAAAGCCAGCATGGGATCTTCTGAGGTTGTGCTGTGTGTGGGGAACAGTCTTTGTAGAAAGAAGCCAAATAAATGAAGGTCTGGTAGGACCAGAGATGCGTTATCTCTTCTCAGGCTGAGGGGAGTAGGTCAGGGAAGAAGCTCTGAGAATGCTCAGGAGTAAGAGTTGACTTTAAACATCTACTGAGCCCACAAAGTTCCAATGTTTAGCCATGAAGACAGTACAAATTTAGTTAAGACTTTTCTCTTAACCTGCTTCCATTTGATCCTCTCCTTCCTCAAACTCCAGACCTATGTAAAGGCAGCAGCTGATCAGTGGAGCTGGAGCAACCCACAGAAAAAGAAGCAACATGCTCTTCCTCCTGTCTCTGTCCCCGAGGCCACTCACATCATGTTGCAACACAACTGGAGAAAGAGTAGCGAAAGATGCCAGAAATCTATAACCAGAATGAAATTCTGACATCATATTTTGACTCTAAAATGCAGACTAAAATAGCCGAGTAATTCTTTCTGATATTTGAGAATGATCAGAAAAAACATAAAATGTTGCTTACATTTTCATCCTGGGACAGGGTAGCAGAGTGCCACAGAAAGGGTAGCATGAAAAAGTTTGTTTCATGTTTGTACACTGAAAGTCCAGGTCATCCAATATTATAAATATGAAGGTAATCTTTCTATGTATTTTAACAAAATTTTTTCTGAAATACATATTATATATATTTGTGTGTGTGTGTGTGTGTGTGTGTGTGAGCATGTATGTGCGTTATCTACTCTTTTCCTTTAGTATGAATATAACATATTTCCAGAAACTACCAATGTAAATTTAGATATGAATAGCTTTTATAATACAATTCCCAGTTTTTCTGGGTAAAATGTTACAAATATAAAACTGTAATTTGTTTCAGACTTTAGATGAATGGCAAAACAATTACAGTTGGGAATTTAAAGTTGCAATTCAGTTTCTATCAAAAATGAGAAGTGTGCCAATTTTTTCCAGCTTATGTGGCCACTGGCCAAAACTGTTTTCCTCTTTCAAATTTTACCAGAATGAACATGCTTTGGTTTACTGTATGTTTTATCTATAAATGGATGGGAGGAGAAACAGTGGAGCTAATACCAATCGGAGGGAATTCTGAATAACCATGGTCAATAAACATTAATTCTGCCTCACTTGTAAGTCATCTGATATAAATGCCCAGAGGATTCTGGACAGCTGGCAATGAACAGAAACACCAGGAATCTCTTTCAAATGTGGTTATTCATAATCTGAATCAGATTTAGCAAGTTAGCCAAATATGACTCTGTCGTCTTTGAGAGTACATACCAGGATTGCCTTTTCAAGTTTTTTGGAGTGTAAGTAATCGTATTTGCACTGGCTATAATAACATGCCCTATGTTGTACAGATTATGTATAACAAAATCAATTTTATGGTAGATTGTAATAAAAAAGTTCTTTTTTTAGTATTCTTACAAATCAAAGCTATAGAATAGTGACTTTCTTTATAGTAATTTGTTTTGAGACAAGGTCTTGCTAGTTCAAGCTGATCTTGAACTCACTGTGTAGCCCAGGTTGACTTGTAACTCACAGTAATTTTTCTGCCTCAGCCTTCCAGGCTCTGTGATTATAGGCATGTGCCATCATGCCCATGTTCAACTATAATAATAGTAATTATTTTAAAACAGTACACAGTTCATGGATACTTGGTATATTCTAAAACAGATTTTTGCTTCTTTTTTGGTTATAAAAATTGTTGGGATTTAATTTAGCCTACCCAGTGTTAGCACATGTTTCAGATTACCCTTTGTGTTCATGTGCAGCAAGTCTTATGAACACTACCTGTACACCTCAAGCTGCTCAATCATTCATTATCTGTACCTAACACATCATGAGGGATGCATTCATTTCATTGTTTTGTGGCAAAACTAAATCTTCTCAATTAATACAGCAAACACACATTACATTAATTAGGCTTTAAGTATTTTCTTCATCTACTTGGTTAAATCTATTCACATTATCATAATGTTTTGAATTTTCTTTACCTTGCTGTTTGTCATTTTTTCTTCTAGTTTTGGTCCTTTTGAAAATATGATGGGGACATTAATCAAACTTACTCAGTTATGGCTATATTTCTGTTTTGATATGACCACAGACGATAAAATGTATCTGTTGTTACTTTATATTTCAGGAAATCAAACCTTTACAATTATTTTTATGAAGAGATAACATCCATAACAATTTTGTTTGTTCTTGTCTTTTAAGACAGGGTTTCACTACGCAGTTCAGGCTGGTCTTGAACTCACTTTGTAGTTTAGGCTGGCCATAAACTCATCGCTATCCACCTGCCTTCTTGGATTACAGGTGTGTGCCACCATGCCTGGCCAAACATTTTATGAGGTGATGAGAAAAACAATCTTTATTCTTCTTTCTCATGTAGTCTGTTTCTTTGACACTTGAGACTTCCTAAATATTCTCTCATGCCACATGTGCATAAACATAAGCAGTTATCCTGCTCAGCACAATAAATGCACAGGATGGGAAACCTTTGCACCTAGTAAGTATAAATAAATTACCAAGGCTGATTGTAAAATGCTGAAATTCTCCCTTCAAATGTTTCCCAACGTAACGTCTCATAACCAGTCTTTCAAGAAAGCTCAGAGGAGTAAGAGAGCTAAACTGAACTAGTTTCATAGTTAAACATCTATCAATGTCTATTGTTCACAAAGTGTTGCAGTTCAGGACTGTGGCTCACCATAGCAGGATGAGAGATTACTCAGAGACAATGTCCAATTCAAACTCCAAGACGGCCTGGAGGGTCTGTCCTGCAGAGATCCTTCAGCAGGAGAGTCTCACAACGTCAGTCCCAAACTGAAGCCTCTGTGGCTTTTTATTGACAGAACCAAGAAGCAAGGATAAAGGTTAACGCAAGAATTCATGGAAGGCAGAGGGGAAGGACAGGGGACGGTCAGGGTGTTCTGTTAAGTGACTGACCTTAGAGCCAATCTAAGTAATAAATTGGAGACGGGGCAGAGAGGACCATAGCATTAATCCCTAAAGGCAAAGTATTTTGATCCTACTTGGACCTGTGGCCCTATAGGGAATCTTTTAATCTCTAACTGTATGTTCTGGTTTTGGCATGTGGCTCCAAAAGCCCCGTATCTCTGCATATTTATCTTACACATATCTCTGGCCAGCAGCCCTACAACAAAGCATTAAGGGAAAGCAAAAGATGGTAGCAGATTTCGACATTCATTTCACCTTGTCTGCTTTCTTGAAAAAAGTTCTGCTTACAAAATGTACTTTTTTTTTTTTGTCTTTTTCGTTTTTATCGGTACCAGGGATCGAACTCACGACTGCCTGCTTGCAAGGCAGGTGCTTATGCCGCTGAGCTAAATCCCCAGCCCCCAAAATGTACTTTTTTAGAAGTTGCTTTAGACACCATCTCTTTATTCCAGGAGATTCTTCTTTAATTCAATTATAAATTCAGAAGAAGTTTGAGAAAAACAGCATATATGTGGAAAAATAAATTTCATATATACCTGTGAGACTGAGCACCTAAAGGAGAGTAGAATAAAGCTGGGCAGGGAAGTAGAGAACTGGTTAAAATGCTGTGACTTAGATTTTCTCTCTTTGAACCCATGGGCTGTACTAGAGTAGCCACTAGTCAAATATGTCTGAATACATTTAATTAATTAAAATAAAAAATGTAGTTCCTTAGATATACTAGCCAAGTTACAAGTGTTCACTAGCTACCATATTGGTTAATGAAGGTACAACATTTATAGTATATCATAAAATTTTCAATTGGACAGCATCACCCTAGACATTGGGGAAACATGAAAAAATTTGTGCAGAGCTTGGAATAATACCATTATAGTTAGATCGCTAGAAAAAACTGGATAGACTGGATCAATTCAGAAATGAATTATGATGTATGTCACCCAAAGGTTGCATTTGTAGAAATGAAGGATGGTGTGTGTGTGGGGGGGTGCGCCTGCGTGCACCCTTAAACATGAATGTGGGACACAGGCAGAGACAGAACTACACTTCCTGGAAGATGAAAACAGGGTGCATCTTCTTTGAAATAGGAAAGCTGGGAGTTTAAATTGATTTTTCTTTTCCGAGAAGGTAGGGGTAGATGTTTAGTTTATTTAAGCTGACAACAAAGTATAACAGACTAGGTAATTTACAAAGGTCAGAAATGCATCTTTCACATTTCCAAAAGGGAGGAAGACAAAAGAAGCACAAGGTACCAACAGATTTTGTATAAAATCTGTTCTTATAAAAGAAGCACAAGGTACCAACAGATTTTGTTGATTTGCGAGGGCTCAGTCTTTGCTTTTCGGATGGCCCCTTTAACACTTCCATCCTGCAGTTGGGAAGAACGCTATAGCATAATAGGGCAACAGGTGAATGGGTAAAATGGGAAAACTTCCTCAATCAAGCCCTTCCAGAAAGCCATCGAATCCTTATGACTTAGAAGACCACACCTCCCAATATTGTTGCACTGGGGATTAACTAAACATAAATTTTAGAGGACACAAAAACATTCAAACCACAGCAGAGGTTGTGAGGAACATTCTAGCAAGATGTGCAACAGGCAGGTATGCAGCTCTGAAAGTCATTTTCAAGTTTTGGGGGAAAGGCACAAATTATTACATACATCTTTCCTTCCTTAAAATAAGCGCCAAAATGCTTCTTCAAAGGGTATGAATTACATACGGGAACTTTTAGTGACCATTCTGTTGTTAGGAACAGATACTACTGATGGACGTGCACTGTAACTTATTGGTATGTTAATGTGGTTTAGTGTTTTAAAATTCACTGGTTGAGGAATTTGAGAGTTATATCCCATTTGTAAAAACTGCCACAGTCCTCTGATGGGTTCCAGTGGCAATATTACTTCCAAAAGGTGGTAAATATCTGCATTTTTATCAACCTAGATAGATTGAAGGCTGAAAAAGACATCACTCAAAATATTTTGAACAAACATCATGTATCGTGGTGAAATAGTTTCACAACAGTTGAAACCAGGAACAAAAAGGGGAACGCGTGATTAAATCAGAAACGCCTAACTGCAGAACGGCCACCAATCCTAGAGCTACTGGGACAGAGGGTGGAGGGGTTATATCAGAACGAAAGGACAAACTCATCCCTGGTGGTGTCATGTGAGGATGAGGAAAGCAGGGACTGTTTTAACTGGCCCTGGGCTTTATAAGAAATATAGGTCATTTGCTGGCTTCTAGAAGTATGGAGCAAGAGTAAAAACTATAGCTCTTCCTTGTTTCACCTTCTGATTTCCTGACTCTGCCTCTGTAGGCAGATTCTTCGTGGACGTTAGATGACAAGGTTCGCTGTGAAATGTTGTTTGTAAACTGAGCCCAACCACCATGACTAAGCAGTGTAGAAAAATATGGGGTTCAATGACCACAGGTAAGTAATAAGCATTTGGTGGTGGTGGTGGTGGTGTGTGTGAGATTTCTTCTTCAGGCAGTAACTCCATTAAGAAAAATTTACTTAGTTTTTGTACACTTAATTGACTCGGGTCTATCAGTGTCTGCCATAAAAAGTACTCTGTACCAATAAATATTGGAGTGACCAAATGTGTATTCTCATCATTGGCCAATAGTTTAAGTTAGTATTGACAGATAGCCCCCTCCATTGACAGGTATGTAATGTAACTGACTTTTAACACTTTATGTGCTTTAAAATACCCTGCAGCATATGCCCCTTGGAAGTTAACATTTTCTCAAATAGTGCTGCCATTATCAACGGGGGTTTTAAGAATACTTTTTAAAAATTGCTTTTAGAACCTGCTTGTTGAGAAATAACGCAACATACTTCCAAGGCAGCATGTGCCACGTGTTTATGCTTTCAATTTTCCCAACTGCAAGATGGTCTTTTATTGCTCCTGTTTTTAGGTAAGAGACTCACGGAGGTGGTATTAAGTCAATCCAGCCTGTTTGTGCTCGCAATTTTTTAAAACGCTAGGGCTGATAACTACGCAACTAACGGAAAACGGAACAAGCACTACAGAAACAAGTACAGATAAACTAAGGAAGCCTGACCTGAGAAGAAATAGAAAAAGCAAGGGAGAACACTTGCAAACCTGAGGCTCGGACGACCTTCGAAACCCCTTCGAGCGCAGCAGCGTTTCTCATTGGGCCCTTGCCAGATTGCGTCAATACGCGCGCGTCCATGAGGCGGGACTTCCGGGCTACGCCGAGTCAATTCCGACCAGGCCGGAAATACTTGCCGGAAAAACGATGAAGGATTCTGGTCGCCTGAAGCTCCTGGTGAATATTGTATACCATAGAGTTGGAAGGAATATATTTTATTCGCGATTGACAAGATTCGGGGTAGTGAAAAATAGGATTTAAAATATGGATAGTCGTTTACAGGAAATCCGAGAGCGACAGAAGTTACGCCGACAGCTCCTGGCTCAGCAGGTCCGCGGCCCCATGGCCTAAATGGGAGGGATTGCAAGTGCGCGTGCGCGACTATCCCCCACCCCCGCCATCTCTCGTCCGGTGCGCTGCCCACCTAGGGCTGTGGAGTTTTTCCTGGTCTTACAACACTGATGTTTGAGTGTCTTTTTTCCTACTCCAGCGATCCTGCGAAATTCTTAAAACAATTTGGAAGTTACTGTGGATCATTGTGATTCTCCCGCCAAGTGTCTGGCACGGTGCTCACAGTGATGAAAATACACCGTATCTTGGGTCTTTGTAAAGAAATCAACGCAGTTTACACGAGGATAAGTGATTTCTTACCCTTGAATTTGTCTTCACTATTTAAGTGATCTTCTGTTCCTTTCCTTTCCTTTTGGTTAGCTCTAGATTCTTGATATATATTGCAGAATATAGTATTTTGGTAGGGGGAATCCTCTCCAAAGACTGCATTGTAAGTGGCTTGAATGTAAAATGTAGATTCTGGATCTTATGCACAGTATCTTTGACATCTGCAGTTAATATCTCTATTCTTACTCTATAAGTCATAACCTTTGAAACGGGTGGCTTTGTGTTCACGTTGTCTTCATTAAATAATGAAATAGGGTTCAGAGTTTAAATAATTTTTAAATCCTTGGACTGTCGCCAGGAGATTGTATGTGTTTTCCTCTCCAAAGCTTGTCTTCCAGACGTTTGTCCTTCACTAATTCTTTTGGTTGACACTTGCTGATGAGTAGAACACACGTGCAGAAACTACAGATTGTTCGAGTTCTATTTAAAATTAGAAGCAGTTTCCCATTTTGCCATGCAGATCAATAAGTATGGTGGAGAAATGTTTGTAAGTTTAATGAGCCATTTTGCTGTTTTTAAGCATTAAATCTTGGTATTATGAAACTTACTCTCTTTTTTTCCTGTGAAAGGTAGATTTGTGGTGTCCTTTCTTAAGTATGGGAAACGAATCAGATCTGCACCTTGTCTTTTCAGCGTAAAATCTTGTATAAATCAACTCTCTTTCTACGTTATCCTCCAATTAATTTTATACGTTTAGAAATTTTCTGTGGCTCTCTGTTGCCACCACATAAGATCTTTTACTCCTTAATTTTGAGTTGAAAGTTCTATTTCACTCAGAATGCACCATAGAACGTTTATTGAGTGTCTTACATTGAGCAAGTACCAGAGACTCTAGCAGGTGTTGACAAGTGAACTCTGAAATGTAGTGTCTTATCCTCTTAAGAGCTTATAAAGCGTGTAAAATTGATAAGGGCTGCCATTTATCTTAATACTTAATGACTTCTATTTGTGTGTCAAACTCTGGTAAGCATTTACATTATCTTTGATCCTGTGAGTCATCTGTTCTATCCTTTATAGATGAAAAAAGTGAAGGTCAAAAAATTAAGTTAGTGCCGGGCGTGGTGGCTCATGCCTGTAATCCCAGCACTCCGGAGGCTGAGGTGGGAGGATCCTTGAGAGTTTGAGACCAGCCTGGGCTACAAAGTGAGCTCAAGGCCAGCCTGAACTGCATAGAGAGACCCCGTCTCAAAAAAGACAAAAAAAAAAAAAAAATTTAAGTTACATGTTTGATGCTACAAAACTATTAAGTTTGCAAGCTGCAGTTTTCTGGTAGAGCTAGGTGCTTCCTGGCCGCCTATTTGGGGGTTAACTCCAGTAAGAAGGCCTGGTAGAATCAACAACAGACATCTGCTTTACCAACATCTGCTTGTTTTTGTGTATGAACTAGGCAGATCAATTTATTACTTTCTAGAACATAGTTTGTACCATACATTCTTTATGATTTTAAAAATGCCCTCTTTCTGAATTTTGTCTTCTGGCATGGCTCAGAGCTTTATGATGAAATCTGTGCATTTGTTCTTGGCTTAGGTTCTTCCATGGGCTTTGTGTTTGAATGTTGATTGTCCTATAGGATACACAGTTTGCTCATACAGTCTTCGCATTTGATTGCTGTTGGTTTAATCTACCCTAGCATTGCTTCTTGCACCGTTAGATTTTAATAAAGATATGTTGATTAATGAAATATCCAAGGAGTGCACAGTTCAGTATGTCATTTGCTTTTGTCTTCTGCATAAAGATGTTGCCCAGACTGTAGGGTTGGCAGTTAACTGCTACCACCACCAAATCACACAGCTTTTTAACTAGTGTATTTGTTTCAAAAAATCATGTGTGCCTTGGAAAGATAATTAATTGCCATAAACTGTTTAGTACCACCATAACAGAAAATCTATTACTGACTTATCTAGTCATTGTACAATTTATAAAAAGTTTGATTATTTGATTATTATTTGTACATAATTAGCAGGATTTTGATTTAAAGTAATTCTTTTTAAACCAACACATTATATCCTAATTTAGATCCTACTAGAAAATCTCATTTCTTTATTTACATTAAGCATCTACTTTTAGTCAGGCACTATATATTGGCTGTGAACATATACATATCAACAAGCCAGAGAGGGTTCTTCCCTTCAAGGAGTTTACCTTTTATTGGGAATATGTAAACAAGAGTAGATTTTTGCAAATAATTGGAAGTCATGGTGGAGACTATGAAGTGGTACCAATAGAAAATAAAAGTAATCAGGGCTGGGGATTTAGCTCAGTGACATAAGCGCCTGCCTAGCAAGCCCAAGGTCGTGAGTTCAATCCCTGGTACAAAAAAAAAAAAAAAAAAGGAAAGAAAATAAAAGTAATCCATGCGGGTTGTACATGCCTGTAACCTCAGTCACTTGGGAGGCAGAGACAGGTGGATTACAAGTTCCAGACAGTCCTGGGCATCATAGCAAGAATTTGTCTCAAAATACAGGCTGGAGATGTAGCTCAGTACTCCCTGGATTCAGTCTCCATATGGCCAGAAAGAAAATAGTAAACAAATGTAAAGTCATTGAAAGTCATGTTAAGTGTTGTGAAATTGTTAAGGAAATAAGGAGGCAGAAAGAAAAATACAGGGGCCTCCCTATCCTATATAGTATACGAGTCATGAAAGGGAAATAATTTATACGTGTTATGGAAAAAGAGGGGCTATTCATGGGAAAAAAAGGATCCCAATTAAAGGAAGTGGATGTGTTGTCTCCTGCTTGAAGAAAAAAGGAGTCAAGCAGATTTTATGGAACAGTTAAAATTTTAGGAAAGTTCAAATATCAGAAGAGATTTATTGTTGGAGAAACTTAAGGGTAATCCTGAGATGGATAGACTACAAGGTAGTTATGTTACTATCTTCGGCTGATAATTTGCTATTTTGATGTTTCAGTAACACTTTTTCCCTCCTCCTGCTAACAAGATTGTTTGATGCAGATTTCCTCATGCACTTCTTGAGCTTAAAAATATTAAATCATTCTTTGTGGAGTTCTGCACTCTTTTGTGTAATTTGAAAGTTTTCCATGGGTTGGTTTTGATTTTCTTTGGTTAGACTTTATTTACATTTCTTGCATTTTGCAGAATTTCTCCATCAGCCTACCAAAATTGAAATCACTTTTTAAAGGCATTAGTGAAGCTCACAATTTGTCTGTGATCATAGAAACTTGGCCTGAATAAAACTGGATAGGTTTTGTTAAAGTGGGGGTTATCAGTGACAATATGTGAGCAGTATGTTTGCTGCTTTTTTTGGGTCATTGCTATTACTGCTAAATCATGTTTTAAAATTTACTTTAAAAGTAAGAAATTAAGTGTTTTAATTTAAAATATAGCTGAAAGCATAAGATATTTTCTAGATGTCAGAATCATTCTTAAATTTATTAACATTTTTTTCAAGATATTTCTGGTTTGTCTTTAAAAATTTTTTTTATTACTATAGGTTTGTGATATATAACGATCACAGTCAGCTTTGACAATTAGTATGTTTACATGTCACATCTCAATTATTTTTATTTATCCTGCCCTCATTCTTCTTCAGATCCCCTTCCATCTCTACAGAGTCTGCCTTCCTGTTTCTTGACATGTGTTTTCTGTTTTGCTCTTTAAATTATATTTTGGGTTTTTTATATTAGAGAAACCATGTGACATTGAATCTTCTGTGACTTTTTGCATTTAGTGTTATGGTCTGAAAATTCACCAGTTTTCCTGCAAATGATTCAAATTTATCCTTCTTAATGACTAATACTCCAACATATATATGTACCACGTTGTCTTTATGTATTCATCTGTTGCTGGACATAAAGGCCACTTCCATGATATAGCTGTCGTGAGTTGTACTGCTATAAACATTGGTATGTATGTCTTTTGGGAAGATACCCAGGAAAGGTGTAGCTGAGCCAAGTGGAATCTCTATTTTTAGTTTTTTGAGGAATCTCCAGACTGATTTCCATAGTGGTTGTACTAGTTTATATTTCAACCAACACTGTAAAAAGAATCTTTTTCTTTTACCAGCATTTTTTTTTTTTTTAACATAATGGGCTTTCTTACTGGAATAAGGTGGAATCTGGAATCTGTGTTGTTTTGATTGACATTTCGCTAATGGCCAAAGATGCTGAACATATTTTCAGATATTTCTTGCCCATTTTACTTTTGTGAAGTTGTTATTCATTTCAGTTACCCAGCTTTTGATTGGCTCTTTTATTTTGGGGGTCTATTTTTTAAATTATATATTCCAATATTATTTCACTATTTGAAGAATAGCTGGTAAAAAAAAAAAAAACCCAAAACCACCTTTTCCCCTTCTGTAGGTTGTCTCTATACTCTGATAGTTTTCTTTACTGATTCCTGCATTGTATTATATTTCTGCTGCTGATTACGTTCCTCTTTGGTTAACTGCTCATTTTGCTAGGTGTATTCTTCCCTTTAGGATCTTTGGTGATGGTTGGTCTTATTGTCAGTGTCAAGGATTTGTGTGTACTTTCTGCTGTGCCAGTTTGGTGGTCATGAATTTTGAAGTTGCATTTTGTCATGGAACATCTTTATTTCTTCAGTTTTGAAAGATAATTTTGCAGAATATATTAATCTGGACTCAAAGTTGTTCTTTTTTAAGGTTTGAAAAACATTAATCTCTCCTTGTTTTTGAGGTTTATGTTGAGAAATCTGCTCTTGCTATAATAAGCTTGCCTTTATGACACCTTTTAGTATTGTATACTTGAGCTGAACTGGGGTTTTAACTATGGTGTGTTATGGAGTAGTTCTTTTCTGGTCAGGGCTACTTGGTGGTCTTCATGTCTGAAAGTTGAATTCTTTCCCTAGCTGTGGAAAATGCTCTGTTGCAATTTCAGTAATTTTTTTTTTGTACCTGTTATGCTGTCTTCTGATCTTTACTTAACTCATATTACTCTTAGGTTAGGTGTTTGTATTTATTTATTTATTATTTTGGAGTCACTTAGTAGTCGTTGGATTCCTTTCCCATAGTTTTAAAGTATCCTTGAGTACCTGATCTGCTGTAGCAACTTCATTTTGTAGTTTTTACACTCTCCTCACGATGGTCATTTCTGCCATCCCTTCTTTCAATAGCATTTTTTATTTTTTGAATTTCTGTTTGGTAGCTTTACCAAAGTTATCATTCATAGCTCGTATGTCTTGTCCACCCAGCTTTTTGTGTCTTCTTTAAATTTGCTGATCACTTTATCAGTTAAGTGTCATTTACATTGGAACTGTGCCTTTTATCCCTTCAAACAGTTCTGCACTTGGACTAGCTTTGAGGGAGTTAAGAATTTCTGAAGACATTCTGTTATTTTTTTTCTTCCTAATGTGTCTATTGAGGTGTGTGTGTGTGTGTGTGTGTATGTCTGCATGCTGAGAATTGAGGATCTATTAAGAGTAGAAAACCTTTTTTCATTAGTATGGAGATATCTTTAGAGAGTGTATGTTCCTGATGATATGATCTTTGCTTTGGCTATGATTAGGTATTTATGGACCTCTTCAAACTAGCATAATAGGATTAGACCCAGTCACTATGTTCCAAGGAGAAAACCACTGCCAGTTATATCACTATCTACAAAGCCAGCTGTATGTCAGTCATATAGATTGACTTTGTTTTTTTTTTTTTAACGATTTCACTCTTTTTGTGACACCTAAATGCTATGACATAGTACTACTTACTGATACATAGACTGGAATTTATAGGATGAAAGGAAGAAAAAAGGAAGGAAAAAAGAGATAACATCAGATAAAAGAAAGAAGACAGGCATGGTGTGCACGCCTGTATTCCCAGCACCGAGGCAGGAGTATCCTTTGAGTTCGAGGCCAGCCTCAGTTACATAGCAAGACCCTGTCTCAAAACAACAACAAAACAAAACAAAGAAAAAAGTTTGAACTTTTTTTTTTTTTTTTTTTACTACTCTGAGTAAAGGGATGATGGAAAAGAGATTTGAGAGAAGATTTGTGGTGCAGAAGGGATGCAGAGAGGGGGAAGTATACCTGAATAATACCGGAGGCTGCGAGGAGATCGGAACGTGTTAGTAGGTGGATAGCACACATGTGTTTGAATCCTCTATACAGTTTTTGGGGAGGGTTATCGTGACTTGGCCATGAAAGTTATTATTTAGGTTAAAGCACAGGTTAGTTCTTGTTCTCCTTTTCACATATATGGACACCATGATGAAAGGAGAAAAGTGGAAGAAAGGAGAGAAAAGAATAGGAAAAAATAAACTACACAATTGAAAACGCAAAATTAAATTGTCCCATCATCCTGTTTACTTTCTCTTCCACTGCCATTGGTAAAGGGAGCGCTTTATCTTGGAGAGGGTCCAGACAGGCCGCTGGGTCTGGCTGCCTCCTCCACCTCCACACTCCTCCGCAGCGCATCGCTGTCCATAGTGTGCACTGTGTTCTGGCCGTTAGCAGACCAGTGCCCACCCCTGCACCTCACTGACCCGGCATTTCTCTTGAGATTTGTTTTCGGCCTGCCCATGAGAGGCTTGGGGGTCTACATTGACTTCTGTGCCCCTCTCCCGCCACAGGCAGTGCTCTGATCAGAGTTTCAGTTTCATTCTTTGGGGCACAGCACCTTGCATTTGAGAAAAGTGAGGTAAAGGAGCAGTGTAGTTAGGCCAGCACCCGGGCCTTCACTGATTTCCTAAGAGGTTTTTTCCAGTCTCTGTTCTCTCCCCTCTGTGATAATCCCACCCTCTTTGGTAGCTTTTTGTGAGGCTTGGTATAAGTGTCATTTACCAAGCCCTCTGGCTAAACCACTGTGCTCCAGCTTTTTGCCCACGTCTCTTGTACTCCACAGAGCATCGTTTTCCAGCCCATGATGGCTGTTGCCCAGGGTTCACGTTGCTTCTTAGCCTTTGGGTGGGAGTGGAAGGTTCCCTTATGGGCTCCCAGCCGTGTGTGGTGGGCAGTCTGTCTGCAGGCACAGGACTCGCTGGTCTTTGGGGGAGGAGTGGGAGACTGCCTGCTTCGTCACTGCTTAAACTACTTTTCTTCCTGGGTTTGGGGTTTTGCCTGTTGCCACTGCTGCCCACCCTTTCACTGCCCTGAAGTATGGTTTTCGCAGCATCCAGCCCTGTGTCCATAAATCAGAACTGTGCCCTTGTTCCCTACTTTCTCAAGTGCCTGCCAGCGCAGCTCAGCTTGTTCTCTGGAGGATTCCTTGGCTTTCAGTTTCTCTGGTGCCCTCTTCTGCGAATATCTCACTTTGTGGGCATTCCTTCCAGTGGGATGGTGAAGAGGCTAGGAGCCTCTCTCAGGGACCCCAGCTAATGCTGTCTCCTCTTGGTGTTAGATCCTCTCCCAAGATGGACCTAGGGTAAAGGGTTGCTACATTCAGAGTCCGCCCAGCCTCCCTGTCTAATTCCCCATGATACTAGACTTCCTCAGTGGGCTTCTCTTTCAGGACTGCTTTTTGTGTCTGGCTTGGTTTGCTGGTTGCTCTGTTTGTTCCCTGTTTCTGAATTCTCACACCTCCCCAGCGCGTATCTTCCAAGTTCCCCTCATTCACATCTAGTCAGCCTTGATGTGTCCCCCTGCATTTTGTCTGTTTAAATTATTCAATTCTGCAGTAGACACCTAAAAAGACTCTCCAGGGCATTGTGATTGAGTTTTTGAATTTTGCCTCTTCTAGTTGGGAGCTGAAAGTGCTGACAGCATCGGAGCTGTGTTAAATAGCAAAGAGGAGCAGAGAGAAATTGCGGAAACAAGAGAAACCTGTAGGTCAGTTAAATACTTTTTTAATAATATGTTAACATTTTGAAAGGATCATTGTTTTGATAAACATCAGTATGTATGGATGAATGTAGTGTTCTAAAAAGCATCAAAGATTTTATAAAGATTTTTTTTTTTCTGGTCTGGGCTCCATCTCTGGACCATGCTAGATAAGTGCTCTACCACTGAACTACATTCCCATCCCAGAAGAACTCGTTTTTAGTGTTAGTTCATAATTGATGAAATGTTTCTTTTTTGAATGTTAAGTTCCTATTTATAAATAGAAATGGAATATTAGACTAAGAATTTGCTTATGTACCAGAAATAAATTTTAAACTATATATTGCAATTTTATGAATTTATAGTATCAAATTTACCTGAGAAGTGGTATTCAGTTGATAGTACAGAAACCATTTCAGAAATTTTCTGATATTTTAGTTTATCAACTTGGACATCAATGTTGCTTAAGACATATTAAAATAATACACAATGAAAATGTTTCTTTTTATAATATGTCACTTACGGCAGCTTCTTCTTTATCTTTTTGGTACTGGGAATCGAACTGACAGCCTTGAGCTTGCCAGGCAGGCACTGCACTGCTGAACTGTATCCCCAGCCCCTTACTTTCTTATAAAGTGCAGGATTTTCAGTTGTGTTCTATAAAATTTTGGGTACTTTATAAAGTAGGTAAACAGATACTATTTAATCGGGAAAAATTTATCTTGTTCCATGTTTATATCACTTAGTATTATGAGTGCATGCTATACACATATTGTATATATTTGTGTGTGATTCTTCCATTTTACTTCTCAGGGCTTCCTATGATACCTCTGCTCCAAATGCAAAACGGAAGTACTTAGATGAAGGAGAAGTAGATGAAGACAAAGTGGAAGAATATAAGGTAAGTAGAAAATAAGAGTTTATGGTAGAGAAAAAAATAAATTCATTCAACAAATTGACATCCAGAAAAACAAATTTGATTGAAAGCTGAATATGAAGTATGCTAAACATAATTGTCAGTAACATATGCTATCAGTTAATAAACACTGGTGATGAATGAAGAGATAAGTGTATCAACAACTTTGAGTGTTGGATCAGATTTTGAGAGGCTGCGGTAGTTTTTGTGCTGGATTATTCCATGTTAACAGTAGGGTAACTAAACTAAAAAACCAAAACATTTTCAGAACTCATGAGTGCTGTTTCTGAAACAGGCCCAGGAAGACCCTAACTTTTAAGCTTGTAGTTGCAGTGTTTATTTAGAATGAAGATATTATGGACAAAACCTATTTGAGTTTTTTCCAATTGATTATATATATTTACTAGAAACAGAAATGCATAGTTTCAGTAAAGCTCCAGCAAGTTCTGTGATATGTAACATAATCTCATATATGAGAATATCATCTCATGTTAACATTTTGATACATTATAATATGTACATGTATCTTAAATATTTGTGATTACTTAATTTAGCCATATATAGTTGGTGATATTCTTAAAATTTTTGACATATAAAACAGTTTTTTAATAGAAATAAATGGCCCTATTTATGGTCAGATCTTTTATGATTAAAGCTATATTTTAACAGTTATAGTGTATATGAAATACATAATTGTAAACAATCCAGTCAACAAAATATTAGTTACAGGTCATTTCTATTCATGATAGTGAATCCTTCCTTTTTGAAGGATGAACTAGAACTGCAACAGGAAGAAGAAAATCTGCCTTATGAAGAAGAGATTTACAAAGATTCTAGTACTTTTCTTAAGGTAAAGTAAATAATTTTTAAGTCCTAACAGCTCTTCACATTTATGCTCTGTACCCTACTTGTTTTTAGGATTATTTTTAATTATTGAGGGATTACTATTAAAAAATGAGGGTTATTTAGATTATGCATGAAACATTCTCTTGCTATTTGGCTGTATAACATGAGAGAATGATGTAATTTTAGTAGCAGTTCAAGAGTAATGAAGTCATTCTGGTTATGTTTTCTGATTTTATTACTTTTAAGATCTATCCTATTTTACATGTTTCTACAATAAAAAACAAGGTACACTGTTAGTGTATCTACTATCAGCATGCATGTTGTTAAATTTAATTTTGACTTTTCTTTAGGGAACACAGAGTTTAAATCCACATAATGATTACTGCCAACATTTTGTAGACACTGGGCATAGACCTCAGAATTTCATCAGGGATGTAGGTATGTAAGACCTTTATGGACTGTTCTCTGGCTCTTAGTTACATGTGTGTGATACATCCATTTTGTAGATTGTTTCTGATAAAATATTTTTCCAGCTTTTTGTTCTCAGTATTTCAGTACTCTTTCCTTCTTTTTTAGATAATTTATATCCTATTTAAAAAGATATAATTCATTACTTTTTTTTTTGCATTCATAGGGTTGTTGGCAACCATTACTGTAATGTATTTTAGGACATTTTCTTCTTCTTTAGGAAAGCCTTGTATGCTTTAGCAGTTAGTCCTGATTCCCTCAGGCTTAATATTTCTCTATGAATTTCTTGGTCTGGACATTTCATTTGATTGGAATTGTACAATATGTGGTCTTTGTGATTGGCTACTTTCACTTAGCATAATATTTTCAGAGGTCATTAATGTTGTAACATCTATTGATCCCTCTTTTGTTATTGTCCAATAATATTCCATTTTATGTGTAGATTTGTATAACATATTTTGTTTACTTATTCATTTGTGTTTGTTCTTTTGGTATATTATGAACAGTATTGTGATGGATTAGGGGGTCAGTTCGGTGATTGTAGCCAAGACCTTCTCACTGAGCTTCATCCCAGTTCCCCTCCTCTCCCTTTCTTTCAAGACAGTCAGAACTTGCTAAGTCACCCAGTCTAGGCTTGAGCTTGGATCTTTCTCCCTCAGCCTCCTTCAGTACAGGATTGTAGGCACGCACCACCACGCCCTGCTCTGTTACGTATATTCATGTGGAAGGTTTTCTGTGGAGATACGTTTTCATATCTCTTTGCAGCATATCTAGAAGTAGAATTGTTGTATCATGCAGTAATTCTTCTAATTTTTGTTGTGTTCCTTAATTTTTTCTATGTTGCTTTCTTTTTCCATGTCGTAACTGTATGCTTAATGTTTTGAGGAACTATCTAAATATTTTCAAAGCAGCCCTGCCATTTTACATTCCTACCAGCAGTGTGTGATAATTCTAATTTCTTCATATCCTGGATATTGTTATTGTCTGTCTTTTTAATCAGAGTCATTAATGGATGTAGGTGGTATCCCATCATGGCATTGATTTGCATTTTCTTAGTAATTAATGATATATTTAACACTTTTTTACAGGTATATTATTTAAATATGTTCTTTGGAGAAATGTCCAAACATTTTGCTTATTTTATAAATTTTCTTTGCTTTTTTATTTTTGAATTAAAAGAGTTCTTTATGTTTTCTCTGTGGTATATATAGTGCTCTTTTTTAATGTACTTTTAGTACAAGTCTCTATCAGATGGATAATTTGCAAATATTTTCTCCCATTCTATTTGTTTCTTACTTTGTTCAAAGTATCTTTTACAACCCCAAATCTTAATATTTTATTGTAATCCAACTCATTTTTTTCATTTGTCACTTTTAAGCAACATTAATCCCGAAGTGAAAACTAATGTTTTTATGAGCAAAAGTTAGATATATCCTAAAAAGTTGTGAGAAATTATATACTCATACTTGGATATCAACCATTCTGCTCTTAAGTTCCTTACCTAAAACAGAGAAAATATATATAAAAAGCTAATAGAGGTTGAGAAAAAGTTGTATGAATGTAATTTTAGTCACATGGAAGTTTAAGAATTAAGGAATAAAACACTTCAGGTGGTGGTAAAAATGAACCAGTAAACACTGTTGAAGAGAACATGATAAAGAATTGAGGAAGAAGAAAACTTAGAAAGGATACCCTGTTGTCCAAGATCTTTATGTCAGAGGGACAAGGAACAAAGCTGATACAGATTTCTACATTTTAAACAAAGTAGTACAATCCCATTCATTAGATGATAAAGGAACATAGAGTTCAGAGTTTTTCAGGTTGTACCTTCTGTTTTGTAGATGAATGCTATGTGTTGAAACTCAATAGTACAAAGTTGTTTTATTTGAAATAAGATCTTTGCTACTGATTGAGAAAGACTTAACAAAAATTTTCACATTCTTGTTACTAAAAACTTTGAGCAAGTATGTGGCACATACTTGTAACCCCAGCACTCCAGGAAGCTGAGGCAGGAGGATTGCAAGTTTGAGTCCAGTCTGGATAGCTCAGCAATTTGATGAGATCCTGCCTCAAAAAGTATTGTAAAGTTGGGGGCAAGGCAAGTTCAGTGCAAAGGCCCTGAGGTTCAGTCTCTGGTACTTGGGGGAAAGGGGAACCACTCCCTTAACCAAGACTTTTAGTTTTAAATTAAGAAGTTTAAGTGTTTTGTATTGCTCTGAATATACTTCAGTCACGATGGGAAGAGGATAAAGAAGAAAATATGGTGGAATGGAAGTAGTCTTTTTTTTTTTTAAAGATGTAAAAGTAAAATGCGTGCAGTTATTTTCTTGGGAGAATTCATAACTTTTCAATTCATTAATAGTAACTGTTATTGAATTGAAATTTAGAATTTACTGTTTTTTTCCTTCAGGTTTGGCTGACAGATTTGAAGAGTATCCAAAACTGAGGGAACTCATTAGGCTAAAGGATGAGTTAATTGCTAAATCTAACACTCCTCCTATGTAAGTATATTTAAAAATTATTTTTGTTCCTGTATTGGGTTTAACATATCAGCGTGTTTTTTTTCTATAACTTTTAAAAAAAATCAACATCCCTAAGATTAAACTAGTCTAAACTGGTCCATTCCTTCATTTCTTCTTTATAGTAAAATATATTAGTTTGAAACTGGTGCTGAGTAATGTGTGTTCCCATTTATTTATTTACTTTTTTAGTTTTCCAGAGAATCTGCTTGAACTACCTCTAAATATCTTTATTTCTTAGCAAATTACTCATGTTTCTTGTATTATCGATTATGTCATTGAATGACTTTTTCACAGAATAACTTGGGATTGGTGACTCATTTTAATTTTTGTTCAACAGAATAATTTTTTTTTTTAGAAATATGTGTGTAAGGGCCTTGAAATTGGAGAATGTTTTACATGTAGCTGACTTCAGATGTTTTGTACCTTTAATGATTTTTTTTTTCCATCTTTTGTCTTTTTGAGACAGGGCATTACTAACTCAGGCTAGTTTTGAATTTGCAAGGATTGTCCTGCTTCAGCCTCTGGAGTGCTGGGATTACAGGTGTGCGCCACCACATCTGGCTTAATTTTCTTTTTTTGGTACTGGGAATTGAACTCAGGACCTTGCACTTGCCAAGCAGGCACTTGTGCTACTGAGCTATATCCTCAACCATAATGGTTTAATAAAATATATCAGTTATTAGAATAACCACAAATAAATGTCGTCATATGAAGAAATCTGAGTATACTTGAATATTCTTCCTACTTAAAAATACCCCTCGCCAATGTCCGGGGATTTAGTTCAGCAGCATTAAGCACCTGCCAGGCAACCTTGAGGTTATGAGTTCGATCCCCAGTACCAAGAAAAAAGTAAAATTACTCTAAGAATATTCCTAGCAAGCATGCTGGCATGTGTCTGTAATCCCAGTGCTTCAGGGCACGTGAGTTAAGAGGATCACAAGTTCAAGTGCTGCTGGGGCAGCTTAGCGAGACCCTGTCTCAAAAAAACAGAAAGGGGCTTGTCATGGTTTATGTCTGTGTCTCTCAGGCCTCAGGAGTTTAAATTGTGCATTTGTTATTTGTTTATTGTATAGTGCTTGGGTTGATGGTGTTAGTGCTACACCCACTTAGGAGTGGAGCTAGGACGTGATGTAATGGCAGGAAGAAGGGGTGTCTTGCTCTTTGCTGGTTTTTGCTTGCTGCTGGCAGCAGCCATGAAGTGCTGCCCAGCCATGCCCGCCTGCCTGGGAGCCAACTGAGTGTAGACTAAAACCTCCAAAAAACTAAAAAATAAACCTTTTCTTTCCCAACTTTAGGCTTCAGGTACTTTGTCTCAGCAACGAGTAAAAAATAAGTAAGACAGGGCTGTGCATGGTGGTGCACTCATGTAATCCCAGCACTCGGGAGGCTGAGGCAAGAGGGTTGCTGCAAGTTTGAGACCAACATAGGCTACAACATAAGCTCAAGGCTAGCATGACTGCATAGTGAGACCCTGTCTCAAAAAGACCAGGAAAAAAAAAAAAAAAGGAAGGGGAAATGGGAGGGGAAGAAAGAGAAAAGAGAGAAAAAGATATTTGATTATATTTAAATTTTTTTAGTTAAAAATACTTTTATATTATGTAAAATACTTTCAGTAAAGTATATATTAGTGTGAAAATACTGTTATGTTTTTACTTATTGGCAAACTAATAAAAAGGCATATCATAATCTCATGGTTAACTTTGTAAATAGTAATATTTAAGATACTTATTTGTCACTTGCAGATTATTTGAAGATCTTTATTTTTATTTATTTATTTTTGTTTTAATCAAATAGGTACTTACAAGCAGATATAGAAGCCTTTGACATCAGAGAACTAACACCCAAATTTGATGTGATTCTTTTGGAACCTCCATTAGAAGAGTATTACAGAGAGACTGGCATCACTGCTAATGAAAAATGCTGGACTTGGGATGACGTATGATGACATTTTCTACATTGTTAATATTAACTTTTCAAATGAATATGCTCATTTAATCAAAAACCGAAACTATAAATGTCATATCTACTTTTGTAGGGATTATAACTAGGTTTATAGGATATATTGTAGGTGAAGGTCTGAGGTACATTGGCCAGGAGTACATTCATTGAATCAAATGAATCAAATCTTCTAGTACATTCATTTGATTCATTTGATTTGAGTCTAGGATGTAGACTATTGAGCCCTTTGTTCGTCCTTGTTGTGGTCCAGGAAGTTTATATTTGTAATCCCGTGGCAACGTTATTGGGATCCTGGCTAATTAATTGTTTACCACCTCCAGTGCAACCCATGGCAAGAATAAAGACATTAAAACATATTTACAGTTAAGGGCAGCTGAGGGGGTCCTGAGTCTGGTCCAGAACAGTGTTCATGGAACAAAGGCCTCGGCCCAGGGCCTAACTGGATATTATTGATTCATGAAGAAGAGAGTGGCTAAAGGATGAGTGACTGTAAGAATGGCGGGAATTAGGTGAGCTGGACTTAGCTAGGAGGCCAGAAAGCACCTCTGCACTATGCAGAGAGAAGGGCATGTAGAAAGACCAATCTGCGTAACACAGTTGAGGTAGCAGCTGATGTGTAGGGGTCTGGTGCTCAGTTCTGATGTGTAGACTTTTTCTGCCCTGGGAAGCCATAGCCTCTTACCTTGAGGCTTGAACCCAGGTGACGGTCTCGGAGCACTGACTGTCATCCTCCTGTGCTCAACCATTTAGAGGGAGACACTGACGTGAGAAACAGTTGACGGTCAGCTGGCTTCAAAGATTATACATCAGTACCTCAGCTGGTCCTGTGTACATTGCTTAGAGCCAATTGAAAGGAAAAGGAAACAGCTTACCCAGTCTGTACATACCATTACATGGAGATAAGGCTAGGTTTTGCTAAAGTGGAAAGAACTGCTTTATATTCATGGAGAGCCGTCCTGGTGGTCTTCTCAGTAGAGGACTCAGTCTTGGTCGTGGAGACGTTGGCTGTAAGCTCCAAAAGTCTGAAAGCAGACAGAATGATAATTCAGTTTGCAGCTGATCAGTTTCAGTAAATATCAGGAAGGGAGAAAGAGAATGAATATGATTGTATCAAATTCGTACTCTCTAAGGACCTTATAGTATGATATTATATGGGTGAAAAAGGAAACATAAGCATTATAATTTCAGTATAATTATTGTGATACTTATTTTCCTAAAGTAAGCTGGTAAGTTCAATTAGTTAAATAAAAAATCTTTTTATAAGCAGTAACAAAAATAACATACTTATTGAACACCATTCTCTGTTCGGCAATGTACTAGAGATTCAGTATTGAGTAAGAGTCAGTACTTACCTTAAGGAGCACAGGGTTCGGTGGGGTAGACATTGACTGAACTTAAGAACTTTGTTGAGTCATTAGTGTATGACTGCATAAAACGATTTGAGAACAACAGACCGAGCATGGGAAGATGGCACTTAGGAGCCTAGAGATCGTGACACCTGAACAGTATACACAGGTGATGAGCTGGAATTGTCCAGAAGAGTGATGTGGGACAGGGATTCAGGCATAGGACAGCAGGACCTGATGGGATGGAGGCATGATTTGGCTTGTGGGGGTAGAGCTTTCAGTTGGTTGTCACTGTTCAAATGCTGACTGGATTGGCTTGAGATAATGTTTTAAGAGCTTGGATTTTTACTGTGAAAACGTGAAACCTTTCAAGGTTTTAAATAGATCAGTAAGAACTTCAGATCGGTGTATGTAGGCTGGACAAAAGAAAGGAAGTCTGGGGAAAGGAGGATGTTTAGAAGACTCTTGCCACTGCTTATCTGCTGGAGACAAATCATGCAGATAACCGGGCTCAAGGATCCTCTCAGTTCAGCCTCCCGAGTATGTAGCCGGAGTTGTAGGTGTGCACTGCTGTGCGTGGTTTATACTGTATTTTAATTTTGCCATTAATTTTGGGCTCATTTACCCTCTTTCCAGTTCATTTTCTTTTTCTGTGAATAATACTATGTTGCTCTAGAAAGTTCTTGAAACTCTTGTCTTACTAAATTCCATTATTCTGTAAATGCAGTTCCCTAGAAGCTCTTTCCTTATAAAAAGTATTTATCTGTATGTGTCCATATATACACACTTTGTAAAAATAAAACAGCAAATATATTCGGTGATTTTTAAGGATAAAATTTATTTTCGACTATAAGTCCTTGCAAGCAACAATTCTGATAAATCTCAGTGGTAGTTCTTTTTGCTAGAGGAAGAATGGGAAATAAATAGTTTTGTTCAACATTGTTTTGTTTTCTTACAGATCATGAAGTTAGAAATTGATGAGATTGCAGCACCCCGATCATTTATATTTCTCTGGTGTGGTTCTGGGGAAGGATTGGACCTTGGAAGAGTGGTAAGATATTTTATAAAGTATGTTCTGAAAATCATAAGATAAAAAATAACATTACATAAGACGCTTCAAGATTAATGTTATTTTATACCTTATTTCTTGAATAGTTTTAAAATACAGAGAAGAAAAATAGGAAAAGAACGTAAGATAGTACCCCCAAGTCAGTAGTAGGAATAAATATAGGTTAAGATAACAGTTTTAGACATTTGAAACTCCAAAGTACAGCATGAAAATGAGCTGCTTAGTCAGACGTGACTAGTTTTTATGAGGAGCTAATAAGTGTTATTCTGAATAGCATTGACTCTTGAATTTTAGATGGAAAAGTAACAGCATCTGGAACACATAGTTTAGGTAAGTGAAAGCGAAAAGTTAACAGCTCAATTTATTTTTAGTATTTTATATTGAGATATGTTTCAGAGCATTTCTTTTTTTCTTTCTCTTTTTTTTGTTTTTGCTTGGAGTATTTTGCCACATAGAAACAAGATAGCAAAGTATTTTCACTGAGAGTAATGGGCTGGGTGTATGTGTTGGGCGGGGTCTTAGTTTTGATCTCAATTCAGCTGTTACCCAACAGTAAGACTTGAGGCCAAGAAGTTGCTTACTCTGTGTGTCTTGGTTACATCATATGTTGGATGAAAATTTCCATTTTTAGGACATAGTATTTATTTTATAGCAGAAAATCTCATTTAATTATAACTAATCTGGGGAGAGTCCATTTGACAGCAAGGAGTCTTTAAGGAGGATTATATGAGATAATGGAAAATGAGATAAATTTGTTAATAAATATTAGTTTTATAATTACTTATATTCTTTATATAGTGAGTTTTGAAACTATTTTTAACATCATCGCTTGTGTCATTTGTTAATCCCAAGGTAAGACTAACCATATTCCAATTAAGTATTGCTTCTTTTTGTTATTGTTGTTACAAAAATATATTGATGGTTGTTCCTCCAAAATACTATGGACAAGAAAGAAATATACTGTATGTCTTTATAAGTTGATTGATGTTTATCCTTTTAACTGTAATGTAAGTGCTTTGGTCTTGCCTTTTAACCTCTCAAGTTAAGTTGAAAGGGATTCAGAGGATTTATCTTTCATTTATGCAGTCATTTATTGTACTGGTGAAGCAGAGTTTGGCCAAGAGATTACAAAAATAATGCAGCTTGAGAAATACTCATGAGTTTCTAGCGACTAGTAAATTAGAACATAGGTGCTAGAGCATTGGTACGTTAATGAACACCCAGAGCAAAACAAATACTTGGCAGCAGGAACATATAATAGTGTGCCCCCTCACCCCCCAGTTCCATTTTCTGCAGCTTTAGTTACCCACCATCAACTGTGGTCCAAAATACTAAATGGAAAATTCCAGAATAATTCATGTTCTTAATTGCACATCATTCTGAGAAGCATGATGAAATCTTTGCTCAGCATATGTTGTCGTTGCCGCTTACATTATTATTTACTGAATAGCAATTTAGGTTTGTGTGTACACATGGAAAAAAAGAAAAAAATAGCATCCCCATAATTTGTATTACAGTATATTGTTGTGATTGTATTTTATTTTGGCAATCATTTACTGTGTCTGATTTATAATTTAAGCTTTATCATCGGTATACCTATATAGGAAAAAAGTTATATGCATCATTCAGTACTATTTGTGCTCTCAGGCATCCATCAGAAGGAGGTTTGGAATGTATCTTTTGTAGGTGAGGGAATGCTGCTGTGATAATCTTGATCTTTTGAGATTAAAACTTTAGTTTTCATTTTCAGGTGTGTTCTCACCTTACACAGCAAGAATCTATCTGGAAAATGTTTTATATTTCACTATATTTTTATGTGTAATTGATCATAATGCTAACAGTATTTTATACAATTTACTCATTTACTTTTCAGTTGACTTAGGGCAAGCACTATATCTTACCCATGTTTTTATTCTCCGCACCAACATGTAGTAGGCCCTCAAATTGCCACCCTGTCAGTCTAGCTAGTATTTGTTAAATAATCATTATATAATAGATTCTAGGATATTAGAATACATATTTCTAGTTTCAAGATTTTATAAAGATAAAAATGCAATTTTATCCATAAAGAGATATATCATGATTTCAGTCTGAAGTTTTGTAGTTGTTGGGAATAAATACAGAAATAAAGTTTTATTGGACTCTCATCTGAAGGGAATTATATATTAGAAAGGCTTTAACAGTTTTTAAATTTGTCAGAGAACAGAAATCAGGCGGGAATCAAATTGCCTTTTGGGTTATCTTGAGATTATATAGGATCTGAGTATTGTAATTTAAAACCCGTGTATGCTGATGACAGTAGACGGTAGAACAGGTTGAGTTACGCTATCCGAAATGCTTCAGACTAGAAGTGTTTCAGATTTTGGAGTTTTTTGGATTTTGAAATAGTTGCATGGACTTTATAGGCTAATAATTTTCGGTCTAAAAATTCAAAATCTGAAAGCCTCTATCATCTGCAATTTTTTGAACATTTTATTGAAACTCAAAAAATTTTAGATTTTGAAGCACTTTGTATTAAAGACCTTGTATATGATGTAATTCAGTGTTTTATCTTCGGTATGTTTATGTTAATATGTAGAACATATTCGGTATGGTTGTATATTTAAAGACTGATATTTCTTTTCTTCTGTTTCTGCACTAGAAGAAAATTACCTTAAGACTCTGGAATTTATTGTCCTAGAAAGTTTTTTAAATGTTGGTTGGTTATTTTAATTGTTGTTTTTTTCTTTAAGATGTCTATTGTTTCTTTTATTTCTAGTGTTTACGAAAATGGGGTTACAGAAGATGTGAAGATATTTGTTGGATTAAAACCAATAAAAACAATCCTGGGAAAACCAAGACTTTAGATCCAAAGGCTGTTTTCCAGAGAACAAAGGTATTGCCCTTGTTATTTGTTTTCTTTCTTCTCATTTTTTTCTCTCAAAACTTTCCAAATCACTATATGTGGCTGAATTTTGGTGGGAAGGTCCTTTTTAAGACTTAACTAAAGAACATTACAGGAATATAGCTAAGTTAATTTTAAAATTTTTTGCTCACCATTTGGATCAGCTCCCACTGTGCCAGGGAGGGGAGCATTTCTCTCTATTCCAAGCTGCCACATGTCTAGGTTGAGTCTGGGTTTGTCATACTCCCTTCCAGAACATTTCTCTAGGCTAAGAAAGAAGAAATGATGGGACTCATAGCTGGCCAGCTCAGAGATATGTCTCTTCTTTCCTTTTTTCTACATAGGAACTTCTGAGAACTTGGACTGTTTTACCAGTGTTAGGCATCAGGGGTTTTTGTTCTTTGCTCCTTAGAGAGCTGCTGAGGGGAGGGTTTTTCTTACTAAGTGTTTCTTGGGCAGGAATCATGACCATGTAAGATGGATGAACAAACTAGCTTCTGGGGCTGAAGTGGGTTTGCTGGGTAGCACACCCAGAGAGGGCTGGAGGCTCCTTGCCCCGCACCATACCATATGCATCTTTCCTATTCAGCTGTTCCTGGGTAATATCTTTTTATAATATTAGCCTGAATTCCATGAGCCACTGTTTAATGATCAACCCAGGAAGAACTCATTTGAACCTCTGAGTTAGTGTATAGCCTGTTGGTCAGAAGCACATTGAAAACTTGGGCCTGAGTAATATTTGATGTTAGGGGCCACTTTGATGGGACAGCCTTTAGCCTGGGGAGGCAGTGAGGAGGGTTTTGTGCCCATGAAGTAGGCAGTGTCTGCAGAGAACTGGAGAACACGTCTGTGCAGGAGAGGAGGATTCTGGAAGCACTGGACACTCTGGGGAGAGTCCAGAAGGAAACAAAGTTGTTTCCTGTCCACGTGCACTTTTCCCACATCCTGAGATCCAAGCTTTCCTTGCATGTTTTTGCCCATAGATTCAGAAAGATGAAAGACTGTCGTGGAATTGAGGACATCAGACATGTAAAACGTTAGAAAATACGACTACTGATGAGAAGAGACTAACGTGTCTTCTCTTACTCTTCAGGAACATTGCCTTATGGGGATCAAAGGAACTGTGAAGCGCAGCACTGACGGGGACTTTATTCATGCTAATGTAGACATTGACTTAATTATCACAGAAGAACCTGAAATTGGAAATATAGAAAAACCTGTAGAAATTTTTCATATAATTGAGCATTTTTGTCTTGGAAGAAGACGTCTTCATCTGTTTGGAAGAGATAGTACAATTCGACCAGGTAGGACCTCAATTTAAAACAAAAAAAAGTTTAAAAGTCAGCTTCAAACCAGAGGTGGTGGCAGCACTCAGGAGGCTGAGGGAGGATGATCAGCGTGAGTTTGAGGGCAGCCTAGGCTACATAAGCAAGTTCAGGGCCAGCCTGAACTACACAGAGATACCATGTCACACAAAAAAGAAAAAAAAACAAAAAGTCAACTTCATGATTGTGATTTGGATGTGAAGAATACGACATAGTTGTAAAAGAAAACTCTTACATGTAAATAAAATTCTTATATACTTGATTTCTCTTGTTGCTGTAAATTATGTATGAGCAGTTTACAACAAAATCCAGGGAAAGATACAGAGGTTTCCTTTACTCCCTGCCCCTATACATGCATCACGTCCCCATTGTCATTACCCGCCTATTGCTGTGCTTGTTACTGTTGGTGAACCTGTATGGAAACACCATAATTACCCTGTCTGTGTTTACATCGTATCATCTTAGTGTTACATGTAGTGTGTGATAAGAGGCATGTATCACCATTATAATATCATACTGAATAGTTTTACACCCCTGCAAATCCTCTGGGATTGACTAATTCATTCATGTTTTTTTTCTGAGACGGTTTAGCTATGTAGTTCAGGCTGGCCTTAAACTCACAGTGATCCTCTTGCTTCATCCTGAGTGCTGGGATTGCAGTTGTGCACCACCACCCCCGGCTCTATTTATTCTTTAAATATGTTTTTATTTTAATTGACACAGTAATTATGTTCCTTTATATAGTACAATGTGATATTTTAGTACATATATATAGTATATAATGACCAGAGCAGGGTAACTGGTGCATCACCTCATTTTCTTTCTTTGTATTGGGAACATTCACAGTGCTCAGTACTGCTGTTCTGTCATCTTCGGGTAATTACTGCCAGCCACAGTTATCCTGTGTGGTGTAAAGCACAGTAGAAGATTAGAAGTTACTTTCCTATTTCCCTGAGCTCCTGTACCTGTCAGCCATCCGTTCTCCATCTGTCTCCCTGGACCCTGTACAGGACTCACCACTGTTCTGTTCTCTACTTCTTTTAGATCACCTTTTATAATGTCCACCAGTTCTGTTCCATATTGCTACAAATGACAGAGGTTTATTCTTTTTCATGGCTGAATAATAATTATGTATGTGTACTGCAGTTCTTTATCCATCCATCATAGACTCTTAGATGGAGTCTGTCTTGCCTGCTGTGAACAGTACTGTAGTAAATGTGCAAAGGCAAGTGTGTTTCACTTACTGACTTCATTTCCTTTGGATATATGCTGCTTAGTGGGATGGTTGGATCACATGGGTTGGTTTTGAGGGACCTCCATGTAATTGTACATAATAGCTATATTTACTAATATTCCCACCAACAGTGACAGTTCTCTTTCCACATCCTCATGGAGCTTTTTTTTGATAATAACTATTCTTAACTGGTAAGACGGTATCTCACTGTGATTTTTATTTGCATTTCCCTGATGATTAGTGATGTCAAACATTTTTCATGTGCTTGCCTACTTATATACCCTCTTCGGTGAAATGTCTTTTCAAGTCATTCACCCATGGAAAGGTAGGAATGGATAGGAACAACATGATGGTGCCTGAAGTTTTAGGGTCTGTCAACTGAGAATATTTTTGTTTGGGAAGAATAAAGCGATAATTGGTTTCAGGTTTGATTTCAGACCATTACATAGGATAGTTATATATATATAATTTTTTAAATTGTCACCAGCCCAAATTCTGTATAATATATACTATTTTTTCCAAGTACTGTTACCACAGAATATAAAACATAAATGGGGAAGAATGAGAACATAGAATAAAAGTTATAATCTAGTAGAAACAAGATATATAAAATGTAATCTTTAAAATATGACCATCATTAAGTGCTGTGCATGCTGTGTGCTGGGAATATCTTTAAAGATGCATTAGACATTTGAATTGATCCCTAGGTCAGTGAGAAAGAATACAAATTTTTTTTTAAATTTTTTATTTTTTTTTTTAATTTTAGGCTGGCTTACAGTGGGACCAACACTAACAAACAGCAACTACAATGCAGAAACATACGCATCCTATTTCAGTGCCCCAAATTCCTACCTGACAGGATGTACAGAGGAAATCGAGAGACTTCGACCAAAGTCTCCTCCACCCAAATCAAAATCTGATCGCGGTGGTGGAGCTCCCAGAGGTGGAGGGAGAGGGGGAACATCTGCTGGCCGTGGTCGAGAAAGAAATCGATCCAACTTCCGAGGAGAAAGAGGTGGCTTTAGAGGGGGCCGTGGAGGGGCACACAGAGGCGGCTTTCCACCTCGGTAACTTCTAGGTTCTGATCCTCTTAATGTGCCTCTGGCCTTTTTTATCTTTTATCGTGGGAGTTTTAGGACTTCATTCTAGCGTGCGAACTTTGCTATAGTTCTGTAAGCTACCAGCTTTGCCCCTTCTCTTGCAGTTGTTTTGTTACAGTGTCTGGTTTGTTATAGGATAAATGATCTTGCCATTTGTCATGTGCATCTACCTGACCAGAATGAAATAACACAAGTTAGCTTCCCCTTCAGGGACCGAATTTATTCTAATTCTTCCTAATTACAAAGGCTTTTGCTCCAGGAATAGCTGGAGAATCAGATGACTCAGCCTGTGTATCACACCAGTGCTGACTGAAGTTGATCCTGCCACTGCTGCCACAGTTGGGGGAGCTGGGAGCCTTGATAGAAGGGTGCTGGCCAGATGGTCAGCTTCTATCAGTTTTTACAGTTGCTTGTTGAAATGATAAAGACAATTAGACTTCATTTTTTTAATTTTAAAAATAAATCATAATTTTGTGTAGCTAAGATGACTATTAATCATGCCTCTAAAGAAGCAAATGAGGACAGATATCCTTGTATTAGGACTCCTGTGGATTCGAACTTGGGTGACCTTTAGAGAAGTCTCATTTTCCAATAAAGTAAAAGTAATGGAAAGATACACACACCTGGTCTCTATCAGGTCTGCTGTAAACAGTTTGGGGAATAAATACTTGGTAATGAGGAATGATATAACCTTTACCCTTGATATTGAACAAAATTTCATATAAAAGCAATTATAGAAAATCTTGAACTGTAGAATATAATTTGGAAATGGAACTGGAGTTCCTTTTTATTAAAACCATCTTGGGTGATATTTGGGAAGGGGCTGGTTGTACAGACCAGTTAGTTATGTATGACTACATGCTGTTATTTCTCTTCCTATATTGTAACTTATGTTTAAATGAATTTGATGAAATCATACCATTCTTGATAAAAGCTTTATTTTGTTACAGTTTTTCTAATGAAACTTTAACTTTTGAAATCTGAGTCTTGTTTTCTTTAACTGGAATTTGTATATGAAGTGGGCTGGGAATTTGTTTTATACCAGAGTAATTGTCTTTTTTAGACACATTTTATTTGCATACTAAGCATGGGAGTATTTACTAGCTCTATTTGTGTATCTGTGCTGTTTTTCTACTTTGATTGGTTTTCTCAACTTTAAGTCATGAGAGAGTATGTCAGTAGCCAGACTTTGGCCTCTGACTAATGGAGCCTGTAGATAAAGGGTGAAACTTTGAAAGTGGCTTCCCTGGGTAAGCTGAACATCACTTGTGAGCCCCCAACTAATTGTGAGTACAGAGGCAAGAGAGACTAAGATGTTCATGTGAAATCTTCCTAAGTTTTAAGAGATCGATAATTAGTTTGCAGCCTTTGCTTACATTTTCCTTTCAAGAACTGAAGTTTTTTTAAAGTTAGACTACCTAAACATTGCATGCATATTTTAAGTTCTGTCCTCTTAAGTACTGTGTGACCAGATTTACTAAAGGAGAGGAAAAAAAGTTACTCTTTTGGAACAGAGAAGCATCACATTTTGAAACCATACTATGTAGTTGGCTTACTTTGGAACAAACGTCAGACATGGACGATTAATATTGTAAAGTGGCCTATGCTGGTGTGACTGCAAGCCACCCATCTGCTCAGCGTGAGAAAGTGTAGACATTTAGGCCAAACTGTCATAAAATACACCTTGTAGAGAATCCTGTACTTGTACAACTAATGTAATTTATATTTTTCATATCATAAGAGAATGGCCTCATCATTATGTTGCCTTTATATATATATTTACCTTTTTAAAAGCAAAGGATAAAAAGTCAAAGTAATTTTTTGAGATATATCCAATTTAGAAGCTTGTAGTGGTGGTTAAGTAATCCAGGTAATTATGTAAATGTCATGGTTTGGTTATGCATTTCAAGACAACTTCTGGGTTATCTTTAATAGTAAAAAAGATTTCCACTTAAAAATATTGCCCATAATTTAGGTGAGTTACATAGATAGTCTCTGGCCTTGTCTAAGAAGCAAGGCTTATAACATGGTAAGTACAAGGTCAGTTTTACATTTGTTTCCACCAAGCATGGTGTGAGAGTAGAGAACTTGGATGTAAGTTTGGACAAAGATAGTAAAGCTTTCCTGTGCACGTGCAGTAAGGCTGATTTTCAAAACATGACTTTATTATTAGAACATGGCTCTCTTGTGCATACTAATTTACTGTTGGACTTCATATGCTACTTAAATCTTGACTAATTCATAAATGTAATAATCTTTATCTGTGTAGGCATATTAGGTCCTGAAGGATTGGTCAGGTAACATTAATCTAAACCCTATGGGATAGCACAAAACTGTTCTTCAGATATGGGTGATACATATATAAGGTTTTTATGGACCCGGAGAATGGCTCATCTTGAAAAACATTGGGCTTGCTGTATAAAAGGTCTTTAAAATTACAAATTTTCATTACAGGAGTTTTATTTTTTATAACTAGTGACAATTTTAAAATGTATTACCATGTAAAAAGCATAGCCTTAGAATTCCTAATGCAGTTCATGCATTCTTGAAACTGTCTCTGCAGTCACTGTTGTAGTTTCCTCACCTACGCACTAGTAATACTGCCTTTCCAAACTGACTTTGTTCGTGTGGTTAAAACTGGATTTTCGTGTACTAAGCTTGGATGCCACTGATTCTGGAAATGATGTTTATGAAGCTGTAGTTTTGGGAACTGGGAGAGGTTAGCCTGGATAAAGCATAATAGGGACATACATGAGATAGCCTTTGAACTGTCTGAAAAATCTCTTATCCAGTGAAGAAGGAACTACCCTTTGGCCATAAAACACAGAGCGTTTGCACCTACCAAAAGGAGTTTTCAGAGAAATAGCCTGCTAAATAAAATTTTCTAACAGAATTGTTCCTAGATGTCTGCTGGGGGAAGGAGACATCTCACTTTCTCAGGCCAACGCAGGAGACATGCGCAGAGCTGAAGACTGAGGACCTCTGTTCTCTGTCAGGACTGGTCAGCGTTCCATTTCTGTGTTTTTAGCAATTAGAATCTGTGTAATTCAATACAAGCACTATTTCCTAGAGAATTGCTTTCTGAGTTTACTGACTTCCCTTTCTGGAAGCCTTAAACAGTGGATACTGCCTCCTGGTGGAACTCAAAATTCAGTTTCACTTTATCTTTCCATAGTCAAAAATAGCAATCTAAAATTTGTCTTTGCTCGCATTATTTTAGTAGAAAAACATTCTTCCATATGGTTAAACATACAAAAAATTAATAGGCCATTCTTATTCCTGTCTGCTCTCATTAGGTTAGATTTCTGGGGAAAGTAAAGGCCCTGCTGTTTTAATAAACTCAAAAAAAAGTATCTTTCTGAGTGAACTATATTTTTTCATAATGGTTCTTCATTTGAAATAAAAGTTCTTTTGTATTTATATATGTATATGTACACATACATACATACCTGTACATACATGTATTTATGTATATATGTAAGTGCTGGTTTTTAACATTTGTCTGAGACTATAGGTTTCTCATTGGTAAGTTTACTTTGATTTCTGAAACTTACTGAACATTTATGTAGCACAAAGATTTTTTGTGGATGTCAATATACTCATTATAGCAGTAAACACGGTAATACTAGTTTTCATAACCCTTGGCAAAGTTAGTTTAAAACCCTTAATTAAGTAACAGTAGTGAATGCTTAGTTATACTGAGTGTGAGATACTAATTGCATTTATTACCTTAATCCTTGAAACAACTGAGTAGGAAACTGGGAAGCACAAGTGTGTTTTCCTTGTCTTGGTCACGGATCCCACAGTGGAGCAAGACTGCTGGTTCTGCAGCCTGTGCTGTCAGCCGCCAGCCTGCTGCCACTCAAGGTTTGAGGGTGGGGAGCGTATTTCATACCTTGTGCTTTTCTCAAGCATTCCCACAATTCACTGGATTTTTCCCACTGTCAGAATAGTTTGGGGTTATGTTTGCTTTCATCCCACTACAGATTTATAATGATGAATGCTTAAATTCTTTAATACCTGTTGTTTGCAGGAAGCATTTCCTACGTGAATATTTGGTTTTTGGACACAATTCTTGGACCTTATGGTTATTAAACTTATCCACGAGGGCTGGGGATATAGGTCAGCAGCATAAGTGCCTGCCTGGCAAGTGCTAGGTCCCGAGTTTCTCGGTACCAAAAAACAAACAAACTCATCTGTGCCAATCTGAAGCATCCTGCCAGTTGGTGAATATGGCTGGGATTTGTTATTCTACTCAACTTCATAGCATCTACTAATTTATAAACAATCCTTTTGAGCCCAGTAATCCTAGACAAAGTACTTAATTGCTTACAGATGTCTCTTCATATGTAAATGAGGCTATAGGATTAGTTTTGTTGTAAGGACTAAATATAAAAATGCTTACAGAACATTCAGAAAGTTCTTGGGACATGATATGAACTCGATTATGCATTAGCTGTTATTTAGCCATATTGTGGTACAATTGAATAGTGCAGATACAGGACACGTGTCACATCTCTGAAAACCATTCAGAGAGGTATATATATCCACCAATAATGGTCCTGTGTTGCCCTTATATTTTGCCTGAAAGAAGATACATACTTCACTGATACTTCCTAGATTTATTACCTAACACTTCTCAACTTTGAAAAACAGAAAATTTTATTATCCTGCTTTTTTGTGATCCATCCAAATTTTTTTTTTGCCAATTTTTACTATCCTTATTGTTGAAATCTCAAAATATGTAAAAATCAGTGGTTCTACACAGAGTATATCAAGTGATTTATTGATGCTGGTTAAGATCCATTATATACAAGTAGAAACTGTAAAATTGTACAAAGAACTATTATGAATATTGATAGTTTTATAGACCAAACAGCTGGAAAATAGTTTTGACATAGACAAAGTAGAACAAAAACTGTTCTATCAGATTCCAAGGTTACTAAAGGTTTGCTATGCAAACTTTAGACTGAAAATGTGTTTAGAGGATTTATATGGTTTAAAAATTAGGTAAACTGTAAAAATCGTTTTCTCCCTTTGTGGCAAATGGGAGAGGAACCAAAACAACTTTGTACCTCAAATCTACAGTTTGAAAAATAATTTATGTCTAGGACAAAGAAAGAATGTTGAGAATGTAAAGTATATATTATTGTTTGAGTCTGCAGTGTCCCGGAAAGTCTCAGGTTTGGGAGGTGACTATGTCATGGGATGCTGGTCCACTGAAGGGTGTGTGGTTGACCTGGACAGGAGATGTGGTTTGGCTGGAGGAGCTGGCTCACTGGGAACATGACCTGATCTCCCAATTCCTGGCCACCAGGACTGAAGTAGCTTTCCTGCACTGAGCCCCTCTGCTGTGCTGCTTCTGCCTTGGAGGTGACCACAATCATGAACTGTAAGTGCTGGGCATCTTGTCCCAGCAACAAAGAAAGGGACTAAGATACCACACTTTTCATGAAATGCAAACTGAGTTTTAGAAATTAAAAATTTTGTGCAGTCAGAAATAGACCGTTCTCTTTAGGGTACAACTGTACCTTCACTGGCTTTATACTTTAGCACCAAAGCTGAAGTTCTAAATGCCATCTTGGAAAGCTATTCTGAAAATGATCAGAAAAAGAAAATTAGCCTACTATCATGGGCAAAATTAGGCACCAAGAAGGAGATTGTCTCCAGAAATGCGACATCAGCAGCAGAGACGATTCAGTTAAGCAGCTGAGATATTTCCTTGTGAACACAACGAAGGAAATCCATATAAGATGATCCTCCGTAAAGTCCTTTGTCTTCTACCAGGAACTGTCGAAAAACCATTTCTGGCTGTTCTCGCTGTTTTACTATCGTGAGCTAGGAAAACATAACAGCAGCTGGTTACAAAGATTTCCTCAACTTTGCTCCAATTTCACCAAACAGTATAGGATGCCTATTACATGTCTGAGGCCTCGGAGGATGACGCAGAAGTACCTGCTGTCCGGAGTGGAAGAGTTACCCCAAACCACAAAACCATCACCCTCAATTTTAAGTGGCAAAAATGAAACACTGGCAGAATATTTTGGGAAAGCCTTCCCACTGGAAGCCACTGTCTCCTAAGCCTTAAATCATGGTGGTGGTAAGAGCATTCCATATTGGAATACCATGCACCAGGAATACAGGTGTGAGTGGTGTATAAACTATCAGGCTTTTATTTGCTGTTTTATTTGCTTTGCAGTGTTAGAGATCAAATCTAGGGTTAACACATGAGGCAGACACTGCCACTGAGCCATATTCCCAGCCAGGCTTACCACAGGCTTTGAAAAGGCAGCAAGCGACTAGGGACAAGTTAACGTAAACATGAGTTTGGGCCTTTGTGGGAAATATGGTAGAGGGAAGGTGCAGGAGAGTGAAACGAGGTAGCTGACTGGTAGCAGATGGCATAACATGCAGGGGAATGATGGAACTGGACGGGAGGCCGCTGGAGTCTCCAGGTGGGAGAGGACGGCACTGGAGGTGGGAAGCGGGTACACTGAGGTGCTGCCGAGGTGACACAGGCAGGACCATCCTGCCCATCATCCTCCAGGGCTGTGCTGTCAATACTATAGCTACAGCTGTGTGTGCTACTGGACACCTCAAACGTGGCTCCTCCAAATTTAAGTTACATCATAAATCTAAGACAAAGGATTTCTAAAACTTCACAGGAAAAAGAAAATGGGAAAAAACTCAGTAGCTCTGTAAACCGATTCCAAATGGAAACAGTGACATTTGCTTCTGGTGAGAGCACGCAGGGTCACTGCAGGTCCTGTGCGCAGAAGACCTGCAGCTTCCAGCCCCTTCCCCTTGGCGAGGAAGAGTGTGTGATTGCTAAGAGAGGGTCCGAGCCTCCCATTTTCACATCATGCTCTTCAGTAACGTGTGTTTCCTTTGGCACTGGCCCTTGGCTGATAAGCTTTACACTGCTCCTGACCTGGTAAAAATTGTAATAACATAGTAATCACTGCTCCTGCTACCACTGCACTCATAACTCTATGTGGATATGCCTTGATTTTTCCCTTTATTGTATCATTTCCACTTTTTGTCCTATTCATCTTGACTGTGTCGTTTCCTTCGTGTGGTTGCTTCAAATGTCAGAGAAAAAGATGTAATACTATGTGGAACGTGGCATGCTACAGCCCTCGGCTCAGTCCCCACATGCCTTGGCTTTCAGAGGTCCTGGAAGTGGCACCGGAATCACGGAAAGCACAGCGGATTCCGCTCCTCCAGGGAGAACGGCACTGACCCCGTCATGGAAATGTCTCCAGAGGAATGTTTAAGTGTCACATCCTGAAGGACCTGAAGGAAGGCCATGTGCTTAATACTTTTGTTTTATGCATCTCTTTTGATGTGCTACTGTCTTTCTCAAGACACAAGCGGCAGCAATGTGGTCCAGCCTCAGTGACTTGATAGTGATTGCACAGAATGCAACATTTGGAGGGAAAGATTGAAGTTCCAGTTTATTTAGAATGCACTTCGTGGGAATTAATGGGAGGAAGTTTGTAATTGCTTATCTTGTGGAACATTTTCTGTCGCTGCCTTTCACTTGTTTCATTTTCACGTGGTGCTCACTGTATAACTTCCCCTGAGGAACTCTGACTACCACCTGAACTGTGGTAAGGAGAACAGGGAGTGAATTTCAGCTCGGGGAGACAGATTTCAGATAAAATAGCTTTAGGTATCGGGCTACCGCCTGAGTCTGCAAAGTGACACTGCCGACCACCTGTGCCAGAACATACAGAAAGTCTGCGGGAAGGTCATGGGAGAGTGGATCCAGGGAAGTGGCTGGTGGGCTGTCCTGCTGCACCTACACCAATGTGTTCTCCTGAGGGGTCTCTGGTCATTTTCCTCCCTGACATTTCTGCAGGGAGGGACATGGTCCTCCTCAGGGGACAGAACGTTGAAGTGATCACTGCTGGCCTCTTTCCCTACTTTCCATGAGCCCAAAGGAAGTCCTGACTAATGCAAGTGGCCCAAAGGTTACCAGAGACCACAGATGCATCCATGAGCTTCACAAACCAACCTCATCTCTCATTGTCTGACTCGGGGAATAGTTTAAATGAGGACAGTGATCAGAGTGGTCTAGAAGGGAAATAATGAGTGGGAAAAGAAAAGTGAGGAAGAATCAAGAGCACAAAATATTTTGGAAGCTGACAGAAGAGATAACTTGAGGAAAGAGGTGGTCAACCTTGTCAACACCGCTAAGGATATTAAGACTGTTATCTTCAGCATTTTGGCAGTTTACACTGAAGTGGAGAGGGGAAGAAGGTACAAGCAGTTGGCAGAGACGACTCTTTCAAGAAGCTGGTGGTAAAATGTCTCTGGTACGTTGCTGGTGTTCAATCAGTATTTGTAGGATAAATGAAAAGAAAGAATTTTAGAGAAACGGAAGCTTTAACGAAGCTTGTAAACTATGGGAAAGAGCCTGTGGGGAGGGAATAATCCAGAAGGGAAGGAGAGATCAACACTTGGAGCACAGAGATGGGACCAGGGCCTGGACGCCCTGGATACCACCCCAGCCAGCCAGCACCAGCACCAGCACCAGCACCAGCATGGCGGCCGACTGGTGGATGAGGTGGGCGAGGCCGTGCAGCACTGCTCCCGGCTGCCTTTCCGTGGGATCAAACTGATCACGCCTCAATGAAAACGGTCACAAAAGAGGACTTTCAGAACTGCTTCAAAAACATGCAGAACAATGGGATAGATTGAAGCAGGGGACCTTATTTTGAGAGGGATGAATGGCAACATGTCTCTTCCTATAATATACCTTTTAGATTAAACACTCATCACATATTTCAATCACACCTTGTATCAAACACTTATGTAGATCACATGAAAATGCAGGACATGCATTTTTAAGGTCTTTAATTAAATAGTAAAATTAAATAGTAAATGAAAGGCATATGCTCATTTTTACCTTCATTGAATATGGCCACTTCTCCTGGATAACATTCATTATCATTCTGAGTTGTTGAGAATACGGATTTCCCACTTCAGGCAGCAGTGTCTAAATTTAAGAAAATTAAAGATTCAGTACAGTTTAAAGTATTTAGATGGAAGCAGCAATATGACATTATTAGAATGTTGTAAACATTCATCTGTTACCATCTAAACTATTGACTTAGGTCATTTACCTAAAAACTCGAAATGTAGAAAATGAACTACAAATTACTCATTTTTATTGACATCCATTCTCACCAATGATCTCTTGTTTTCTGCAAATAAAAATCTTTCTCTGAAATTTGATACATATATATCACTGAAATGACACAACAGGTAAACATTTTATGCAAAGGATGTCTTTGGACCATTTCCCATAGATTACTCCATCTTCTAGCTGTACATTCCAAAGCTGCGTTGTGAAAGAAAATACTGAACTTTATCCCATCTGTTGCAAGACTGATTTATTACCTTGTTTGGAAAATGCTATCCAAGTGCCACTGTTCCAACACTAAAACAAACTACCAAATGCTTATTTGTCAAGGGGAATGTGATCTCATAGACCTCCTTGAAATCTGGTTAGTAGTTTACAAAGCAGTCCAGCTGCATATGGCTTGCAGGAGATGTAAAAGATCAGCACTAGGGTTTCTTTCACTAAGGTGAATAAAACGCTAATGCTTCAAAAAGATTACAAGATTCAGCACATCATTTGCAAGTCAGTTACTGGGAATCTGAGTGAGAACATTCGACTATGATGACTTAAGTCTCAGGGAAAGTCAGTACCAGTGTATTTCACAGGAGTTACAAGAAAAGCAGGGTATTCATAGTCACACCTGTCTCCTTTGCTAGTACAGTGGATTCTTCTATCCAACAAGTAATAAATTGTTCCACATTTGGTTTTTAATTGTGATTCAGTTTTATGAGGAAGGTAAAGAGGTTTGCTGATACAAGCACAAACCTGCCGGTCTACTGCTTGGTGGTGAACAGACTGCTATTTTGTATCTATGTTCAGTTCAGCAAATATGTATTCAACTTTTACTATGTCAGTATATTATTATATAAAAAGGAAGTGTCCTTAAATTTTATATAAACATTCTCAGATTCAGTTCTTTGCCCACTGAATTTTATTTATAATTCTTAAAAAATTACATTATCATTCCTTAATTTCAACTGGGTGCAGGCATCTTACTGTTTCAAAGCTTCTTAATTTAAAAACTAATCTCTTAATGAGACATAGACACCCTTAATTCTTTCACAAATATACTTTTGATATTCATAATTGATACACAGCTTTCTAAACTGAACACTTAACTCTGTAGCATTAAAATTTATTCCTGTTCCTTCAACAAGATGCTGTAGATCTTTACGTTATACATGCATACCAGGAATTAGGTGCAACACCTAGACTGAAGCCACCCTGCCATAACGTAAGCAGGGCTTTGGAGAGCTCTGTAGAGTCCTGTGGAATCCACCTTGAGGCAAAGGAAGTCAATTACCGTCACCGTCATGGTGCCCACAAAATAATGACCCACAAGAAGTTCTGCAACAGAAGTTGACCTTCAAGAGAATTATAACTGCTGAGTTTTCCTAATATACTTTAAAAATAGACATTTGTGTTGCCACGTCAAACTCACACTTTCATCTGTTGTGACTGCAACAGAAAGTATATAACCTGTTTTTGTGAGATCATTACTTTGTAATTCCTCAATCTGATTTAGTCTGAAGTCAAAGACCTAAGAACGATTTCTGCATTCTTGTGGGTAGTCAGCTCAGAACCCAGCATGAATCCTGATGTTTGAATCTAAATCCAGTTTCCACCTGTGCCACTGCTCCCTGAAGGGACTGTTCTCTGGTCTTGCAGTAGTGCATCTGTAAAACTGAGACATCCAGATCACCAATGTGTTTGAGAATGGTGTGTCAGTATTTACAGCACAGTGACCAACTCATAGTAAATAATCTGCAAGTGTCAGCAATTTTTATTCAAGTCATGTATTTTGGCTAACACTTTACCCAAAATAAATCAGATAATTATTTTCTCATTATACATATAAATATTTTTTATATTTTTAAATATTTTTTAACATAAGATTGCCATGAAATTTATTTACTTACCATAAATCAGTGAAAACATACTTACCATATCTGTGTTGACGTGTGCAAAAGATGGCACATTAAATATTCCCTGGATCGCTTCGGGCGGGCTACCCACTCCCAGCCACAGGAATGTGTTCAGACCGTTGGTCAGGAGGAAGATGCCTTCTTCTGAGAGGCGAGACTCGGAGCAGCGCACAGCAGCAGGCAGCGCTGCGCTCTTCACGTCTAAGGTGTGCTGTGGGCAGAGCGGAGGGTCATGAGCGTCTTCCTCCCTCCTTCCCTTCTTTACCCTTCGCTTCTCTTCCCCTTCCCCTCCTTTCTTCTCCCTCTCTTTTCCTTCAAGTGCTTCTATGTGCCAGGTGTTGTTCTACTGGTTGGATAGAAATCTCTGTGCCTTGTGAAACTAGCAGTTTTTTGGAGGAGGAGGAGGTGAGACGTAATAAAATAAGTAAAATGCACAGAACTGTGGATCGTATTAGGCGCTATAAAGGAGCACTTGTGAAGCTGTGGCAGGAGGATCACCGCGGGTTCAAGGCCCGCCTGAACCACACTGCAGGCACCCACCCGGGAAGGGTGGAACCAGAAAGGTGGGAGGGAGTGCGTCAGCGGTGGGGGAATGGCGTTAGGGTTTCAGCGGGGATAGTCCGGAGACGCTTGGTGGGAAGAGAACTCTGAGTGAAGACCCGAGGAGAGCAAATGAGCTGTGGGATCTGTGGGGGAAAGCATTCCACAGAAAAAGTGACGGCGGAGAGAAGCTGGGGGCCAGGGCAGAAGGCATTTCAACAGAGAGTGTTAAACGGGACAGAAGCTGTGACAAGTCAGAATAGAGGACACACTTTCAAGTACACAGACACAAATAATAAAGAGGACTGACGCTCCCCTTGGGTTTATCAAGAGGTGATCCCTGGCCGCCTTCCAAAGAACTTCAGTGGAGTGCTCACGTTCTTACCCGTTAGAGTTCTCGTTTCTCTGCCTACAAATTGTTGGCAAATTAATTTTATCTGAACACAATCATTTGTAATAATTTACTTCTAACCTTCATATTGATTGAAAGAATTAACAACTTTTTAAATTTCCAACCTAACTTAAAGACTACACTGCACGTCCTGCTCTTTCTAAGAGGCTGAGTAGGCTTCTGTGTACCTCCCAACAGCCTTCCTCACTTTCCCTGACTGTAGGCAGTCAGGTCCCTGGGAAGAGGAGCCTCGTCACCGGACACAGGGGCACTCAAGGTCTCAAGGATCGACTTCAACAAAGTAGAGCTCCCTGTCATGCCGACGGCCAGGGGAAGGGTGGGCGGGCCTCCTGTACAGTGTAGAGACCCTTAAATGTAAAGCCTGATTACACTGGAGCAAGGCTAACTATAACCGACCTGATTAAATGTGGTGACCCTGAGGCATTACTGTCTAAACATAAACACGTGTGCCAATGAGATCCCATACGTATGTTGTCTTCCATGGTGTAGAGTTCATCAACAACTGAAACAGTTTGCTCCAACTGAGTTACAGACTTCTCAATGTGTCTGCATAGCTAAAGGATGCAGCTCAGGAGTGAGGCAGAGAAGCAGTCACTGAGCCATCCATTGAAGTAGGGGCTCCCAATCCCCTCTCCCCGCCACTCTGCCTACACACCAGTATACATATGCAACTTGTTCAGGGCGCCTGGGCTCTAATCCCATGCTGCATATTTTGAAGGCATTTATGACTCTGAATTTCTTAACAAAAGGTTTAAGCCCAAATGCCCATCAACCAATGAATGGATGAAAAATGTGGTTCCTTTATACAACAGAGTATTACTTAGCTATAAAGCAGGATAAACTTGAGACATCTCTAGGGTAAATGGGTGAACTTCAAGACCATTTTCTTAAGTGAAATAAATTGGACACACATGTATTTTTTCTCTGATGTGAGAAGCCAAAAGTGCAAACAAGGACCAAAATGTATAACAGATATTGTGAAATAGGGCAAGAAATGTTCAGTTGGGGAGAGGAACTAGGAAGCAGGCAGGGAAAAGAAAAAAATGAGAAAAGAAGGAAAAAATGGAAACCAATTTTTTTTTGTGAATAAGGGGAAGAGGGATCAAAGGGAAAGTAGGGGAATGGGAAAAAAACCAAGCTGTGTCATGCACAGGTACGAATTCCCTATGATGAATGAGATCACTACGAACATCTCCAAGGTACTCATAAAACTAACATGCAGAAAAGGGTAAGAGAGGACGCTCTTCCAGACTCCCTGGGAAATGCTTACTACTGGCAGGAGCTGTGGATAGAAGAAAAGCTGCGAGTCGGCCACGCCCATGGTCATGACCAGCTGTCTCTGGTACGCCCGCTCGTCTATGGAGATCTCTGGTCTACTGAGCAGCACACAGTTTTTTAACAAGCAATTCATGTACAACGGCAATACTTTCATGGAGTCTGGGAGAATAAGCTGAAAAAGAAAGATACCTGTTTCATATGCTTGAAAAGGATGTTAGGTTTTATCCATAAACATCATTTGCTTTTGAACTTGGGAAGGTATGTATGTTGCTCTCGTCTCTACTCTGGCTCACGGGTCCTCATTCAGCTGCTAAAAGCGCGGCCCATCAAGACACACTACAGACTAGCAGATGAACAATGCTGCAAGGCACCTGGACAGTTTAAAACATTCTAACAAAAGCCTGTTTTACCGAATCTTTGGTCCAGTCCTTGTCAGTAGAATAGCAAGTAACAGAATTCACCTGCCACCTCCTTCCTTTAACAGCATAGGTCAGTGAAAAAGAAAATATCCTCACAAATATACACAGAATCATATGATAATTTGAAAACATATTCCTGAAATATCTGGTGTACAGATACATGATTTCTTTTTAACTACACATCTGAATGATGGAAAAGAATGAATACTTAAGAGAATCCACAATGAAAAGAAAATTTCAGGGCTCTGTTGGATTTATTCATTGTCTTAACATCATACATCTTTTACTGTGATCTAAGTAGAAACTATGTATAAGGTACAACTTGCTAACTGATGCCTGCAACCATGTATCAGAAATATTCTACTTTACAATTTGTTTCCCTGTTTCTAATTTTTCAAAGAATAGTTGAACATGTTTCCTCATAAAAGAACAGTTCTTCCTAACTGTAATTTTTTTCTCTAGCATAAAACATTTTCATTTGATCACATTTAGTACTGGATTACTTTCTCATCCAACAATAACTATAACCCAAACTGCAGGATCAGATTACAGACATGCAATGCTCTGGCTCCTCCACAATGAGATTATTCTTGGTAAGGGCAGTTTGTGTAAGGATGTAGAAGGTCACATCTAGTTTGACTGAATTTGGAAAATTCTTCATGTTTCAGAATGACAGTCATACCAGACAATAACAACAACAACAAAACAACTGTCACTCTGTAGTTACAGTCGTTTGACATGTATCTTGAAGTTACTGTACTCCCAAATAATATGACATGTTTAAGCTCAGAACTGTGAGCTGTTAGATTTAAAGTAAGTAACAATCCTCCTAATAGGAGCCTAAAATGTGGTTTGCCATTGTTTCTAGCCAGTCATAACCTAGACCAACCGCATGCCCCTTGGACCGGGTACATCACGGAACTGCCCTCCCTAAGTGTCTTCTTGTTTCCCGCAGTCTTCACGCTAGCTCATCAGAGCAGCTCTGCTGAGGCCCAGTATCACACGATCAAAGTATGCGGCTCCTGGATGGTCCTGCTTGGGTCAGGGAAACGTGGGCTTTATGGTAAAATGGTGATAGTTCTTTAGGAACTTTCCCACAGATACTACATCCTGTAAGTGAATCCTCGGAAAGTATTGAGTTTGTAGTTACATTTTCTGAAGAGCATTTGGTTCTAAGAATTCTGTGTTTTCAGTTCATGATATGTTAATACAACATTATTTTTACCCATTTATAATCTTTACATTTTCTAGGTTCCACGGTGGTATCTAAATTACATCATTTCAAAAAATTATCACTGGTGAAGGGTGCACTTGAAATGTACTAATGGAGGAAAAACTCACACTGTGAGACCTGGAAGAGCCTCTGTGTACTCATCCAGAATTCTGCCACCATAATGTTTTTACTCAAGAATAATTAAACCACCTAAGCAGACGGCCTAGTTGTAAGACAATGCTGTTAACTTTGGAATCAGAGGGAACTGACAGATTTTACTATTTTTTCTTTAACAGGCAACAGAGTTGTTTTTCACTTAAGAGTTTTGAGTCTAATCGTTTTAACATGAGCAAATAAACTTCCAGAGAAGACACTAACTATACCTGTTCCACTTCAGCTAATCCTTCTGAAGGGTGAGATACTCCAGAGACAGAATAATGTCTTCCAGAGCCTAGAAGCAAATAATAAAAAGGGGACGCAGTCTCGCGGCTGGCCCACATCCAGCCTGGTTTGCAGGTGCAGCTGGTAGGCTTTGTGTAGTTTACACAGGCACACTGTGCAACAGAACTGATATTTGAGTTTACAAAGTGACAAATTTTCTGAATAATAAAGACAACTGAATTCGGTACTCATACAGAGCAAACTTTGCTTAAAGCATCATCAACACAGGAGATGAAAGACTAGAAGAAAAATCACTTTTTTTCTCTGTTTTTTTGAGACAAGATCTTGCTATTTGGTTCAGGCTGGGCTTGAGTTCACTTTCTGAGACCCAGCCTGTTCTCGAATTTGCACCGATCTGCCTCTCTCAGCCTCCCGAGAGCTGGGATCACAGGAATGCACCATCACGCCCGGCAACACATCACTTAGAAGTGTAATTAAGTAAATGCTTTTAAAAATTTTTCCTTTTCCAAGATTATGAATTTGAACCCCAAATTTATCTGCAACATGTTTCGTGCTGAAGGCTTCCTTTGAGGTAGGCTTTCAGATTCTTCTCAGTAATTGTTTCTGACAATGAACAGGCTGAACATTCTCTCATTCATTGTTCACCGCCTTCTCTCAATCAGAGCGCACTACTCATATGTTCCGTACATAACTACTAGAACTAGTGTCTATTTGTATTGACATGGGACAGTATATGAAAGAAGAAATGAAACATAAATGAGGACTTCAGGTTTTACTTTCTTGAATAGAAGTCTAAATGAGTATCACTGAAAGAATTTTCCAAAATTTCAAATCACTAGATGATGGCCAGAGACAATCTTTAAAATCTCTTAATACCTATTTATTACTTTTACATAGAGGACTTCCAATATTTATATTACATTTATGCTTATAAAACACAATGTTATTACTGCCATCAGCTCCTGTCAACATTGTTAATATGCCTAAAATGTATATAAACATATACATTTCACAACAAAATATCCATGACTATTTACAAAAGAAAATTCTGTTTTGACACTCCTTACATATAACACACTTCTGTTTATACGGAATGTAACGAGTGGCACCTGAATATGTATACACATTTTTGGTTCAGACACCCGGTCAAGGGCAGTTTTTAACACCAGCTATGAAGTATCACAGCGTACCCAAAGCCATGTTCTTAGTCTTTCTGGCTGTAGTTAGCTGCACAGACCTGAGCGCCTGCAGCATCCTCGGCCTCCTTCATGCTGCTGGTTTGAACCTTCCACACCAGGCACTGTATGTGGCTTACCTGTCTTGCGATAGTGGAAGTCACACAGTACTTCCGGTAACACGCCAACATGTGGGCAGTCTGATTGACCAGAATTTCCCGGATGACCTTCAAAGGCTGGTGTAAAACTGCTTTAAAGGCTGTATGTGGAAAACATTAGTAAAACAAACATCAAAAATTTAGAAACTGATCTCTTCAAATAAAAAAAAAAGAGAACAAATTACTACTATAGTCAAGCCACTCAACCAGAACAGCAGCACTAAAAACGTGTTAGTCCTCTGCAAGTGATCTACTACTAATAAACCATGACGGGGGGAACAACAGCCTGCCTACAGCAAAAGGTTATACTGGCCAAGATTTATCTGTATGATATTAGAAAAAGAATTCTATACACAGGGAAAAGAAAGGTCACTTGTTGTTTTCTGATGTCCTGAATTCCTATGGGCTGAACTACTACTACTTCTATATTTAGGTGTACAATCTCAGAAAGAAAGCAAAAAAAAAAAGTCACTTTTACCAAGATATGGGGTATGGAGGTCAATCCAAGGTCACGGACAGTCTCCCACTTTCCACAAGTGGCAGAGGGCACACTCCTACACCAAACAAGGGCTTAGGAGCACCTTCTGAAATTTCAACTCCAACTTCCCAGTAGGGAGGAAACTTTAACTCAATCTGTACAGTCCAGACCTGGACTGAGCCATTCCATTTAATAATGGAGTTAGAGACCCTAAAGCACATAGTACTTTTCAGACACTGACTCAACTGACCAGCACGTCTTGACTGAATTTAGGCAAGGTTTACTAACCTACGGGCTTAGCAAAGCGTTACCTGACTTGGCAAAGAAGTTGATGAGGGCATCTGTTTCACAGCTCTTATAAAGATCGGCTAACTGGGAGCTGCAGCTCAAGCCAAGATTGTGAATCCGAAGTCTTCTTTGGCCACCGACGGTGGTGTAAAGCACAGCACACTGCAGGAATGACACGGAGGTTGTGTTTTCCTGGTTAGCACCAACGACATATCCACCCAAGGTAGGCTGGTCGTACTTGCATTTACAAAACAGCGTGCACAGATAAAGGATCCCTAAATGTTTCTACTAACCTTTTCTACGATTTATTGTCATTAAAGATTGAGCAACGACAAGAGTAATGACCAGTGCATCGGCTGGAGTTTTCTGCAGCATTTCCCTGGTTTAAATTATTGGGCTACTCGCACATAAATCTTTGTTCATACTTTCATAGTCTCAGATTTTATACTCATTAAAATTCTTCCTCAACTTCCTGCCCACCTCTCCCCACCTTTAAGTGTGATGCTGTTGTAACTTAAACCTGAAGCCCCCCTCTCCACACCCCTCATGTGTTCACAGCAGGGCCTTTGAAGGATGACTGGACCATGGGGTGCTGCATTCATCCACGCAGTAACCCATGGAAGCATGCAAAGCTCCATGTGAGGTTAGGACGCGGGGCCTGGTGGACAGGAAGGTCCATCTCTCTCCCCTCCCCTCCCTTCACTCTCTGCTTTGTGGATGCCATGAATCTATTTCTCTAGCAGACTCTTCTACTGTGATGTTTCTGTCTCACAGTCAGCTGGCCATGGATGGAGTCTTCTAAACCTGATGAGCCGAACTCAACCTCTCTCTTTAAGTTGTGGGTGTCCAGTTTACATCTCAGCAATGAGTGACTAAGTGACTAAGGTGGATGCTGATGTCTGAAAACTAGACCATTTGACATGTGTTATTGTTTTAGCTAAAACGTAGCTACTCATAAATTTTATGTATTATAATGCAAAATCCTATTCCACTTGCTTATGATACAATAAAGTGCTCTACCTGGTGTTAGGGCTGAATTGTGACACTCCAAAATTCAAGATGAAATTCTAAACCCCCAGTCTTCAGAATGTAACTGTATTTAAAGACAAGGTCTTTAAAGAAATAATAACTAAAGTAAGGTCATTGGGGTGTCCTTGCGGAAGGCAGCCTTTCAGAATCTGCCAGGTAATAGTGAGAGACAGGAAGAGATGAAGACATGGAGAAAAAGATCACCTCTTAAGTTGAGAGACCCCAAAGCAGTTCTTTCCCTTATGACCCCCAGCAGCCCTAGGCTTGGACTTCCAGATCCACAACTGTGGGAAGAAGTTCCACCGCTGAAAATGCCCAGCGTCATTACGGCATCCTTAGCAAAGCAACTCACGTGGCAAGAGCAGTGTTCCCCGAAAGGAGTGAACGAATGTGGAAAACCTGCTTTCCAGGGCCCCCGGTACTCCACGCAAGCTTGCTGGGTGCACACGCAGGGACACCACCGCCACGTCACGTGAGTGGCCCAGCTGCATCACACAGAAGCCACGCACTGGCGCGCTCCAGCCCAGTGACTTCTGTCTTTGGAGAAAGAGCTGATTTCCTTAGTAGAGACTATACATTTGGTGGTAGTGTTTTAGTCTCACACTGACCACTGTAAGAAACCAGAAAGCAAAAGATGACGATAGAGACGCGGTCACCTGGATGAGGGCTCCGCTGTCCTCACTCAGCCTGTCGTCGTGCTTGAACTCCACCGTCACCGCCTTGTCGCAGTCAATGGCAGCCATTTCCACGTCAGTGGTGTTGTTCATACAAACTCCACCAAAGAAATCCGTGGCCCTGAAGCCTAAACAAAATGGAAAAGGGGTATTTGGCTTCTCCATATTTTGCTCTTATTTTTTTTTTCTTGTCCTGTTATTTCATTGGTAGAGCGAAAAAGTGCAAAAAGAGACTTGAAAATGGTATAAATGACAGTTACCTGTACTGGTACGAACCCTCATAATGGCATCAAAGCCTATTTTCTTTTCAATGTCATTTCTGAGGTCACTCAAAAATTGTTGGCTGTCCAAATGCATCTAAAAAATAAAGTAAGATCAGTGCCCACTAGATGGCAGCAAAATATTTAAAATAACAATTGTTTTTAAATTTGACTAAAAACTGTTATTTCTAATCTCAAAAAATTATGTGCATAACTTAGGTGTCTTTGGTTAAGGAAAATATAGGATCTTTGGACAGTGATGCTTAAATTTCCCAGTGAAATGCATCTTTTATTTTCTTCCATTTTTGTAATCTTTGAGAAAATCAATTACTGATTTTACTTTCCAAATGCGAAAACAGAGTATAAATAATCCCCTCAGGGGCTTAGTCTGAGAGCCTAAGACCCAAACATTTCATTTAACAAGCTGGAGAAACCCTGAAAAGTGGGTCCTTTCATCTGACCACATTTGGAAACTGAGTCGGAGGACATGTCACACATTAGCAAAAGCCTTTCTCTCAGCCTTGCTAGCGCCTCTGCTCTCCCTGTGTTGGTGACAGCTGCTCACAGTCCCTGAGCAGGCGACCATAACGCAGTAAGCCCGGATGCAGTGCTGCTCTGTGCGTTCACAGGGAGGGGCCCAAGCCGATCGGCAGCTTCCAGAGTGTTTGTAAGATCTTGTCAGGAAGTCGCTCTTTTTCTTTCTGGTGGTATTGGGGATAGATCTGGCCCTTTTTATTTACTGATTTTATTTTATTTTTAGAACTGAGTTTTGCTAAATTGACCATTCTGGGCTTGAATTCAGATCCTCCTGCTTTAGCCTCTCCGGGTGCTAGGATACAGGTGTGAGTTGCCACATCTAGCTTGGGAGGCTCTTAGAGAAATTCTCACTACTATATTTGACAAGTAGGAGAGAGGCAGACAACATACATCCCTTCCTATTCCCCTGACACAAAGGGGAGGAAGGAAAAATCAAATGGAAACCACAAGCAGTCTTTGTAATAAACTTCAGTTGTTTACATCCAACTGGATGTCTGCAAAGCTTTTGACCATCATTTTCCATTTCTTCCTTGTAATATTATTGACAAGACACTTAAAATCTTTGCTTCTGAAGCAGAGAAAGAAATGCTAGAGTAGGACTCAGTTTTACAATAATGAGTAGAAGATGCGTCGATGAACAGCAGCATAGCCACATCTAACACTCTTAATACTCTTGGACTATAAAATATTTTAGGGGGTTTGCTTCTGTTCGATCACAGCAGGATTCCCTTTTATAACACTAAGGAGTCAATAATAATCACTGGTGTTGAGGTACAAGGCATTTATTGCATGGAAAGGACACAGGGTTACCTTGTAATTCAAAGACTTGAAAAGTTCGTTTCCCTGGCCAGGAAAGGAGCTAACACTGTCATCACGGAAGACTTTTCTGTACCTCAATCTCCAGGATTTGGGCAGGAAGATCTCACTTTCTAGCATGCCTAAAAATACATACGTATATCAGGAAGCCTTCAAATGGCTCTTAAGAAGCCAGGCATGGTGGCTCATGCCTGTAATCTCAGCATTCAGGAGGCTGAGGCAGGAGGACTGTTGCAAGTTTCAGGTCAGCCTAGGTTACAAAGTGAGCTTAAGCCAGTTTAAACTGCACAGTGAAGCCGTGTCAAAAAGCCAAAAAAAAAAAAAAAAGGTTCTTAAAATTTTATTATAAAAATTAACTCATAATTAATAGGTTTCAATATGACATTTCCTTCTATGCCTATGTTGCACTTTAAATTTCTTCCACCCTTACTACCTTTTCTTGCCCTCCCTTTTAAAACATTTTGTTCACTTTTTGTTGCTGTTGTTACTGTGCAGCAGTCTTGCTATTTAACTCAGGTAGACCCTGAAGTAGCTATTCAGTAATCCAAACCGGCTTCAAATTTGTGGTTCTCCTACTTCTGTCTCCAAAGTGCTGGGATTACAGGCTTGCACCACCCACCTGGGCAATCATTTCTTGTTTTTGACAATGGCAGAGTTTGAACCCAGCACTGTGCCTGCTGGATAAGCTCTCCACCATTGCACTGTACCCTCAGCCCAACTTTAAATGTTTTGAATGTATTTCATTTGATATCTTTAGTCTTACTTTTTAAGTACTTTATAATGTAGACAAGTATAATTTTATCCATGACAAATAAAAATAGATGATGATTAACCAGCAGTCATTTGTGTTGGGTGAGTGCCCCTAATGACTCCTGTTCCACAGGGAGATGAAACATAAGAGGCCCACCGGCCCTCCTCCTCCCCTTCCTCCTCCTGGGGAGCCGAGTGACTGATCTGATTAGTGAGTCTGAAAGGGACCGGGTGGGACTGCCTGCCTGCACACACCGTCTGCCCCTCCAGACAGTAAGCTTTCAGTTACTGTCTGCAGAAGAATCATGAGACCGCCCACACTGTGCCAGGCTGGAGGCCCCCATCATGTTCAGGGAGGACTCCGAGGAAGCCACTTCCTGCGAGCTGGAGCTGATGCAGTACTCACATTCTGATCCTCTCTTGAACCCCTGCTTCCATTGAAATGTAGAACAGAGGGGTGTAATGAATTGTTCACCCCAAATTCCAACAATCTGAAATGTGCGGCTACCTTTTCAAACATTGTTTTAAGCATACTTTACGTAGTATGGCAGCTTAGACTGATATTTACTTCCCCTGGCTGAAAGAGACGTAGCCATGAGCTCCCCTAAACTACTGCACAGTGTAAGGTTCCCAGCACTCTTGAAGCTGCATCTGCCAGGTGCCCACAACGGGTACATCTTTCTTAACCCACGATCTAAGCATCAAGATTAAAACTGGGTGAAATGGAGAAGCAAAGGACTGCTAACGTCTACCTGGAAATGGTTGTATTTGTAAAGAGTTCCTCCAGTGAGCTGAGGAACAAGACCCAGTGAAGCCACATCCACATACTGACTGGGGAAGAGGAAGACGGTCACCGAGCAGCCGTGGGCCACGCAGTCCTTGGCCAGTGAGTCGTAGATGTTTGTTTGGGGCTGAAAAAGTATCTGAAGGAAAAGGTACAAGAAAGAAAGACGAAAAATGACAAAGTATTTTCAGTTTAAAACTGAAGTTTTAGACTGAGTTCTCATTGAAATGTTAAAATGGAAACTCTACACATATTTTCCAATTAAGTGAATTGGGCTAAAGAAATACTCCTAGGCCTTCAATTTTATCTGATCCTTCGTGACCAGGCTGGCGCTGACAGTGCTACTCAGGCTTACAGAACCAGAGGAGGCACTTGGGTGCTTCCGCCCTACAGAAGCCCCCCCCCCCCCCACTCTCCAGGGTCTGGGCAGAGGCACTTTGGGAGTCACTCCGAGCCTCAGGCCTACATGATGGACGGTGTCCCCTCTGCACTCTCTTCTTTCTGCACCCCCTTCTGTCTTCTCTAACATCCTCATCACTGGGTACCGCTCATACAGATTATGTATTAAAAAATATGGGGCTCTTATTTTAATTTAGGTATTTCCAGTGTCAGTTTTTTCTAGGAAAATAAAATTCCTCCAACTGCTTATAATCCAAAATATTCCTGTAACACGCAATGTACACATTAGATGTAATTTCTCCCCCTCTTTCTTAAACAAAGGACACAGAACCTTGAAAGAGTAATCACCTTCTCTTTGTCTGTATTAACCAGTTTTTTGTCATCCCTGTTTTTGAGCTTTCCTGGTGCTTCGGCAGTTGGCAAGGAGGAATGGAAGATGTACAGCTTCCCAGGACATTCTGCCGCCTGAAATAAGAAAAAACAAAATCACAGAAAATGCTTGGCTGGGAAGGTCTTAAGGAAACAGGAAATATAGTAAAATATGTAAGTTCTCTATGAGCCAAGCACTAACTTAATCTTCAGAAAAACCTTCATGTTCTTGAGCAGATGCTATTTTTCTCTGTTACAGGTTCGTAAAGAAACTAAAGTTTAGTAAGTGTAACCCTAAGGTTATGCAATTTTTAAATGAAAGCATTAATACTTAAATATGGGTTTGTAAAACACGGTGCTTTAAAAAGTCATTAAAAGAGGTGGTAGAGGGAAAACCCGTTCTAGTTTAGCAGTTTAGTCCAGTGCAGCAAACTATGGCACTGTGTGGGGCACTGCGGGGCCCTCTGTATCACTGACAGCACTGAAAGGCTCGCCCCCACTGGGTGCTTCACAACCAGGCCAATTCCATACTGCAGACCAGGTGACAGAATCCACAGGACCATAATGCAACAGAAGTGTTTATTTCAAGCCTTTAGTGAATCTGGGTCGAAACTAAATCAGTTTATTTCCAAGCACAAGCAGAAAACTGTGGCGGTGTCTCGACTATGGTGGACACAGGAACCAGCCCAGGCATGGCGACAAAAGGGAAAATGTATGATCAAGAATGTGTATCTTTTGTCTCAGAGACGCAGTGGAAAGGAGATTCAGCCTCACGAGTCACCTCAGCATTAAAGAAACTCAAAATCATAGGAATGCAATTCAGTAGCAACCTACCAAGCAGAATACAGCGAAGTGAAATACAACTCCACATTTAGCACACTGGACATACTTAAGCTCCTATCTATGATCTTTCATTTTCACTTCCTCCTCTTCTAGCTCCATCCAGCCCCATCTGTGGTTCGGCTGTCTCTGACTCAGTGCGTACTGCTGCCAGTGCAGAGCCCCGAACCAATCTCTGTATTTCACTCAGGTATGCACTTTTCTCTTCCAGAATCCTCAGGGCTTTGTAGGCCAGGATGAAGTCCACGGTCGCTATCTGGGCAGGAGCAGGCAGGTAAAACAGCTGCTTCAAGCAGCTTGGAGCCAGGCCCTCTGTAAGTGTCTCCCTAGCATTCTAAGGAGGCAAAGCTCGCCCATTTGCTTCAGTCACGTAGCCAGCAATGATACTGCACAGCCCTCTGAAGTGTAGTCTGAAATGATCTTTCCAGTCCAACAACTAACCTTCTCTCACCCTTGCTACCTTTCACACTGCAAGTTCAGCTGCACACATTCCTTGCTTTCCCAGAACACGCTGCTTCTTCAGTCTGGAACATTCTCTAATGCTTTTCTACCCAGGATCGTAGTGTGCAAAGACTGGGCAGAGTGGCACTCACGGCTCTGCTGAATCAGCTGTACGAGGTGCTTTTAGTTAGCGGGTACTTATTAATAAGGTACTCAGATTTGTGGCTAGTTTCTTTGGAAAATGAACAGAGAGAATTCAAGGCTCTCCCTGTTGTGATACGTCTCTCTTCAGTGACATGCTGATGTATTTTGTGGCATGGATCACAGGAATGAGGTCACAGTGGACATGTCTGTCCGGTATTTCATGTGGTCAGTAGTGAGGAAGAATTTGTGATCTGGGATCCTAATGCTGGATGTCTCCGACTGAAAGTTACACACAGAAATAGCATCAATAAGAAAGAAGAGCGCGGGCATGGAGGACATACCTGCAACTGCAGGCACGCAAGAGGCTGAGGCAGGAAGCCTGAAAGGCCAAGGTCAGCCGGGCACCTTAGTGAGAACCTGTCTCAGAATTTAAAAATGTGGAAAAGGGCTGCGGATGTAGCTCTGTGATAAAGTCACTGCCTCGGAAGCACCAGGCCCGGCATTCCATCCTCGTGCCTACTGAAAACAATGAGGCAGAGGAGGAAAGGGAAAATGAGAAATCACAGGCAGGACCTTCAGCAGCTCAAACGTTTCAATTCTGTGACTATAATTTTAAAATTTCTATCACTTTTATTACTATAAAAGCATTTTTATTTAAATATAATATATAATATATATATAAAATATATAAATATATAAAAATATTTAAATAGCAGAGAAGTTATAAAGATAAAAACAGCTCAGCTTTTCTTGCTTGACTGGGTTGCAGTTCTCCTAAGGAATTCTCTATCAATAATTTCTCTATGGATCCAGACATTCTCTTACCACGGAAGTACTATAATTTTACATTACAGTTTTTAAGAACACAGATCCTAGTTTCTACCGATCAGGATTAGAATCCTACCTAGCACTTTATCATTGGAGGAACTCCAGAAAATACTACTTGATGCTTCAATTACTGAATATATGATATAGGAGAAATAGTAACTACATAAAGTATCGTAGGGAGAACCTGATTCAGTAAATGCTATTAATCACGACTGAACATACAGGATCGTCTTGTTAAAATGGACCACAGAGTAAAACTGACAGAAAAACTCTAGAACCATTAAAAATAAAGTTCAATACTGCAAAAAACAAAACAAAAAGCAAACCCAAAGTAGTCATACTTATTTTTTCTACTTACATAATTACTGCTAATTTTAGATTCATAATTTCATTAATCACATACATAATATTTTACAAGTAGCAAATTTAAAATAGATGAGGCTCCATGGTATTATAGTTTATGTCTTTCCACAATTTATGCTTTGACCTATGTCCAACTGTGCCCACAGGAGCTAGTCTTATGAATGAGATGAATGATGTATAAAATCAATCTTACGGTGGAAAACGGGTTGAGAAAGACTGGCCTTGAGAATACACAGGTGGACACTCGGCCCCCGAGGCCATTCGTCTGCAGGAGGTGCCCCTGACACCCTAGGCACGGCCCCCACGCGCTCCGTGTCACACTCTGCTTTGAGCACCAGACTCTTCCGGAATTGATGACACTGTTTCAGACCCTCACAAGCTGCCGTCCCCACCTGTGAGCCGAGACCCCAGAAGAGGGAAGACCTCGGCTCTGAGTCCCAGCAGGTCTGCTCTTCTCACTCCACGGGCTCCACACGTGTCTATGGGGGGACTGCGGGAAGTTTTCCCTTTGAAATTGCATCTAGGTACAGATTATGGACAATTTACAGATAATTTCTCCCCAGGTAGTGATGTAATTTAAAGGTCATTAAAGGTCAACTGACTCCAATTATTTTTATATACCTAATTCTTATTCTCGTTTTTGTCTACTTTTATTGTGGAAGTCATAGCTAATATGGAAAATTATTCTTTGACCAAACTCAAGGATAGTATCAGTGGTTTACATATAGTTTGAGTCACAAGGGTCAGATTCTGAAATAACTACAGACTTTGAAAGATTACAAGATGCTGTGGCCCGGGTGTGTCCTTGGGCTGGGTCCAAGGCCTTGTGAGAAAGTGTGCAGAAAGCATTCTAGAAGGTGCCTATTTATCTCTGTGACAAGTCAGCATGTGGTTTTTGCTACTTTATGTCCACCCTCTTTGCTTTAAGAAGCTTACTGCTGCTGACTCTGTAAGATTTTACTTGGTGTCTATCTGACTGTAAGAAAGGCTGTAACTCCACCAGGGCAGTCTAGCTCTGAAAGCCTTCACTGCTCAGTGAGAGCTTTCACTGTGTTGCTTCCTCAGTTTCTGCTGCCTGTCCCCCGGGGATGTGACTCCCATCTCCGGTCCCATGAGAACATCCTGCGCCATCGGATGAAGCAGCCATGGCCTCACATTTCCCAAAGTTATCCTCTGCCTTTCCCCTACCCTCACCCCTTTCAAGACAGGGTCTCATATAGCCCCAGCTGACCTCGGACTCACTATGTAGTTCAGAGGGCCCTCAAACTTGTAGCAATCCTCCTGCCACAGCCTCCGAAGTGCTGGGACACAGCAGTGTGCCACCACAGCTGACTCCCATCCCCCTTTTTAAATGCAAGCGAGAAACACTTTGTCTTGTTTTACAGAGTTACCTCTTCTCTGCCACACTACATGGGGTTTCTGAACAAGATGGTAGTCCCTAAACTGCCTTACAAACATTACAGCCTTTGATACATTCTTATCGGTTAAAATGACAAGTGACAGAAGAACAGGCCTTTTTAATATTGTGATACCACCCTGCAGATTCTGAAACATCTTAGCTTATTGCCTAATAATGACTTCAGACAAGAATTGTGCATTCCTATATAAGTGACACAATTTAAGTATGATTTTCAGCTACACAGAGATTGAAGATACATGAAATAATATGACTCTGCCAGAGCTGGGTAAAAACACACACACACACACACACACACACACACACACACACACGCATGTACAAGTTCCCATGAGGCAAAAAGCATGAACTGTAGACAAGCGCCAATCGTCCTACAGCAGTTTCTGCTCTTAAGCACTGAACTAAAATCACTTGTTATGGATTAAGAACTGGTGGTCAACTTAACGCCAGCAAGATTACATCAGCATGGCACTGAGTGAAGATGCTCCACCTGAGGAAAGTTGTCAGCATAAATAGAGATGTGGAGAAGGAGAAGGAGGGCGTTGAGGAACTGATGCATTAATGTGTTGTTGCGTTGAGGCAGTGTGGGTTCTCCTATGAGTTGCTGTCTGAGCTGTTGGTTCTCCTGGAGAAGCTCTGGTCCTCACATTGAGCATTGCTTCCTGGCTCCAGAGGGGAAGACGTGTGCCACTTGGTCTCCAGGATGATGGCTTCCTGCATGTATACGACCATGCTTGTAGTTGGAGGAGTCAGGCCCTCCATGTCGCTGAGGATGGCTGTGGTGCTTTTCAGGACAGCCCTGGTCTTTGCTGTGAGTGTGACTTCTCGGCTCCAGTGCAGAACCCTCATCCCACTAGCACAGTTCCTTCACTCTGCTGGCATGAACTTTCTGACTTCCATCGCTGACTTTTGGGCCTTCCCAGCACAGATCCATAACAGAGACTGGCGTGAGTCCTTCTTGTGGGCTCTGGACCTCCAGTTGGACTCCTGGGAGGCATTGTCCTAAACTCTGGGTTTTTATCTGGACTCATGTGGGATACTGCTGTGGGATTTAGGCCTTGATTAAATATTCTACGTCTTTGGCGTTGCAGATAGATTTCCTGCATTTTCTTGTGTTAACTCCTGGTGACCATTATCAAAATAATATTATAAACTCCATGTCCTGATTCTAATTGTTCTCTGCACAACCCCTAACTACAACATCACTCATAATTTTCCTGATATGACACAGGAAAATTTTATTATTCAAAATAGCGACTTACAAAGGGATTTAGAGGAAACATGATTATACCCCCATATACAATAGAAAAACAAAACAAAAAGTAGAGGTCACTAAGAAGGACAGGGAAGAAAGATCCTTAAAAATTTACCTTAAATATTTTTCTTGGTAGCTATGGTCAAAAGAAGCATTATGAGATAGAATGACTTAGTGAGTGAGCAAGAAATAGGCTAGTGAATCTTTCTACTCATTACAAAGGTGAGGAACACTGGAGTAACCTCATAGAACATTCTGTAAAAGCAAGGAAACTTTCCTCATAAAGTTATTTATTTTAACCATAAGTTGAAAACTGAAGGCAAGAAGTTAAATCATGGCAGTCAAAGCATTCCTAGAGCAAAAGTAGTGCATGGAGTAGCCCTTCTCCCACAGACAGGAACTCTCAGAGATTACGCAACAAACGATTCTTCCCAGACATTGACAAGCATTAGAATAATCAGGGCATTAAGGATCATAACTTCTGGGTGGGGGATATAGTTCAGTGGCACAAACACCTGCCTGGCAAGTGCGGGGTCGTGAGTTCGATCCCCAGTACAAAAACATCAAATCAAATCAAATCAAGTCAAATCAGCACCTCTGGAAGTTGACCAGCCATCTGTATTTTGACAAAGCGCTTCTACTTCACCTATGCGATTCTATGACTCATAAGTTGAGATGAGACAACATTGAGCCTCGGTATGAAGACTGGTATTGGGAGAACAACATATTCTGCTAGTACTGACATGACAATAACTGCCACTGACATGGTGTCCAAAGCATCATTTTAGGATCTTCCACTCTGTAGGAAGAACACTACTGACCAGCTTGGTATTTATGATGTTTTCGGCATTGCTACATTTAGACAATAGTTTCTTCTCATATTCAAACTTCAAGGTAAAATATATATTAGGATAACAATAAAACTATTAATGTAGTAAAAGTAGAATGTAGAAGAAATAAAATGCTGCACTGACTGCAATGGACTTGCTCTGGGGAACTGACTGCGCTGGGAGCGCGGACGCCATCGCCACTGGACAGCTTGAGACCAAGGAGAACTCCGCGGTTATGAAGAACACTGTATTTTCAGGACTTCTCATAATTCAGATCAAATTTCTGATATAGGGAATGTATGTACACACATGTGACTGACATTTTTCTTTTGAAGCTTCCAAGCAGTCTCTAGACCCCGTCTGGACTGCTCCTGTGGAAATCATTATTACAAGACACTACTTAGATTCCCTTTCAAACATGAAGTGAGGGGTTGAGCTGGGATTCTGCTCCGCAGGCCACCAAAGGCCAAGACCATGTCCTCCTGTTCATTTTTCCCTCTTAAGTGATAGGACAGCGTGTACATGTCCAGCCATCTTTCCTCTCAGGAGCACACAAAAACAGTATGATTCCTAGGCCTGATGTAGAGTACAAAGAGTTGTGGAGTCACATGGGACTAAGGTATGCAGAAATTTACACATGGATTTTTAGATACTGTAATGGTAAAGAACAACATTCACAGCAACAAACAAACACATTGAAATTGAAATAGAAGACTTGTTTTTAACAATGTGGGATAAAAGAGAAATTTCCAAAGCTTTCTGCATCACCCAAATTTTTTACTACTGGATTCTTCTGGGCGAGCTCTAACGTCTTCAAGTCACTTTTATATGTAAAAGTTATAAGTAATTTAATGTTAAATCAACATGCATGCTGAGACTTTTGTGACATCCAAAACTGCATGATTCATAAGTGACTATTTATAGATAAAAACAAAACAAAAACTAAGCAAGAATCAATATATTCTAGAACCAAACTACAAAATCCGATATAAATTTTACATAGGAAGGTGTCCATAAGCTCAGTTCTGTACTATTGATGTTGCTGTCTGTTATCACTTTTACTGGTATTACAATTTGTCATTTTATTTTAAAAGTTAATTTGAACTTAATTTCAATAATAAAATTTAAAAACTAATTGTAAGAATTAGCTGTCCGAAAAGAGAGTTGCCTCTCTGGTGAGACTGCCTTAGGGTAAGTATTACTTTGCCATCTTCAGCTTACTGTTTTTATCACTCTGAAGATGGCTGGAGGGAGCCATGCGGGCTCAGCTTCCCAGATGGACACAGGGACAGCCAAGCCCCACTCACTCTGGCGACCACGCAGGCCCTCGGCAGCATTCCCGGCTCTGTTACTGGCTGGCTGAGGCCTTGCCCTTGCGTGTTTAAAAACCCCAAGGAAGAGGAGGGTGATGTGGGAATTTTTTCCTCTTATCTTGTTGAACTAATTTTAAAATGGATCATAAGAAGTTCACATAAAAGCCAAAGGGAGGAATTAAACTGGAAATCCTGACAAAATCAGTTGCTCAGAAGCAAATGGTGCTGGAAAGTAAACCCGGGGAGCAATCCCCGGTCCGGGCCATTTTCTCCTGAGAATCCTGGAGAAGTTTAGAGTGTTTTCAAGCACCCCAGACTCAAGTGGAGACGATATTCTTTTATAAATAAATTCTGCCTGCCTGCCTCTGTCCCTCTCTGCCTTCCTTTTTCTCTTCTTTTTCTAGCTCTCTCTTTTTAAAATTTATTACCAGCACATACAAGTGGCTTCTTCTCACCTTTAATGCTTCCATGCCAGCCTGAATGATAGGAACAAAGACAGTTTCATTTTCATTAGAGTCTGCAAACATCTCTGGAATCTGGTCCAATAAACTGTAAGAAATGAATGAGTGAAAGTGAAAGTTTTAAATCCTTAGTATATTTGTCATAAACTTCAAAAAATAAATCACTGAAATTTCAAACTTAAACACATGTGGTACTTATTTCGTGACCAGCACCTGTGGGTATTACTTTACAAGCACGTCTTAGTATAGTTTGGCACTAAAGTCTAGAATTTAGATTTAACATTTACTAAATTATACTTGGTAGGCATTTTTATGTTCACTATCACTGATCTCTTTTAGACCATAAAGTTCTTTTTTTTTTTTTTTTGCTTTTCCAATCTATTTTATTTTAAAGAGGAAAAAACCACAAAATTTCAAAACATAATAATTAGGGAGTAAATAATGGTATATACATTGTGTATTGTTATCTTCAAGTCAGTTACTTAGAGTATAAGATATCTGCATTTGATTGCTCAAATAATACTAGCGCAAACCTTTCTTTTCCATGTACTTAGAGAAATTGGTAGTATAACTATCTTATCTATCACCTATACAAACACATATATGTATATTGTTTCTTTCAGCTTCTCACACTGAGACAATACAATGTTTACACATGCATGTCTGATTTACTTATGAGTATGGTAGACTATAAATTCTCAACACAGTAGCTGTATCTCATATACAGCAGCTGTATCTTTATTAAGATCATCATTGAATATGTTCATTCACATGCAGGAAATAACTCCCATGAGTCACCTTTCCTGCAAAGAAAAAGAATTAATAGGACTGGAAGTACAAAAAAGTTCTCCTTCTTAGATACTAGTCTAGATTAAAAAAAGACACAGCTCATATAAATGATAAGAGTTTTACAATCCATGTCTTAAAATCCAGTTGCTAATGACAAACTGTGTAACTGAATCAAGACACAATGCAATTAAAAACAGACAACTAATCTGTATTTAATTGTAAAGCACATCATATTTACTTGTGAATCACAGACTGGGATTCTTGATAGTTGACAAGGAACCCATCCAGCAATGGAACGAAGACCTCCGCAACATCAGTCACCACCATCATCTGGGGCTGGGCCAGATTACTCTTCACATTGAAGAAATGGAGAACTTTGTTGTATGTGATAAAACCAACTCGGATTGCAGATGTCTCTTCTTGCTCCTCCCTATGCGAAAGAAATATGTTTGGGATCTGTTTATAAATTTAGAACAAGAGGACAGCTTCTCTCTGAAATTCATTATGTGTGCCTGCTGTAAAATACATGAAAAGCAGGTTTCTGTTACCAGAGTTAAACAGTTCTCAGTAGGGGATGAGAAGTTATTACAAAAATAAGCAAGCTGATAAAGAAAAAAAAAGATTCTAAAAAATTCTAGGTAAAATCAAATAGATATTATAATGAACATTTGCTTGTACGTTTTAAATATATTTATTTTCAATTTTCAGCAAGTTACAAGATTTTTGTTTTATTTCCATAAACAAGATACATTCTCTATATAAACAAAGTACCCTTAGAAGTTATCAGAAAGTCAGGAGAACAAACAGAGTATCTGAAGCAAGAAAACAGAAGAGAAAGCACATGCATATTATTGCTAGGATGGTTTTTTAAAAATTTTAAATCAAAATAGGATCCCCTACTTATATATCTTGAAAATCTTGATGGGATAATCAAATAAAAAGAAAGAAGGAAGGGGGAGGAGGAAGAGAAGCAGAAGATGAAGATGCAGATAAAGATGAAGGAGAAGAAGAAAGGTTGAGAAGTAGGAGGATGAGAAAAAAGCTAGATTTTGAGGACTATATGCCATATTCTACATGAAGTAAACTACATTTATAAATTGACAATATAATTCCTATTCGGTGACCATGTGTGATCATCACGACACAGCAACAGAAGTTCTAACACTGTGACACAGAGTGGATTTTTTATTTTAGGAAATCTAAAAGAAAGCCTTAATGTTCCTGAAAATACAGCACATGACTGCTCGCACTCCAGTCTACGGTAAATGCACTCATGGTTTAGTGGTCTGCACACCAGTTACACGCTAACAAGCACGCTACTCACTCTCCCCACCACCCTCGCTCCTGCTCTAAAACACTGAGATTCCACTCAACAAGAGCTATAATTTTTAGTGGCCGATGTTACACAGTGCTCAATGGTTTAAAGAAAGCCCCAAAAGACGCATGACATTTTCTTTGACCTTTAGTTGTAAATAAACATTATTCTTTGTAGGGGACAACTTTACTGAAGAAGAACTTGATTTCCTTCTAAATGTTCTGCGTGGCATACACAGTTGCCTGAGTTTAAGGAAAGAAAAATGGAAGATCTAGATGAGTTTCTCAAGTTCAAATACCTGATTCCATGGTAAACTTCTCAGTTTCTTTGATATTTCACCAGAGTGCAAGCCAGCAATGACTGACTTTAACTGTATGTACTTTATTCCTTCTCTGCCCCCTTTGCTAAATGAAGGGTATTCTTCATTGCAGCCTTGATAACTGGGTGAATGGACAGTTTAAAATGATTCTCAAAATCCCTTCCTGCCAGAAGTTTACATTTTGGATACTCTGAATGCTTTCAGAAGTGGAAATCTGTATCTTTTTGTGTCCATGTGACTATTTCTACATAGACACCCATGTAATCCCCAGTAGCTTCAACTGTATGGTTTTATCCACTAGCCATTCTCTTGTACTATATGATATGACACAATACAATACTATCCTAGTTACTATGCTATACTACACTGTATCTGGATTTCCCCTTCTTGTTCCTATTGTTGGAAACTCACTGTTTAAGACCAAGCACAAAACCTTTCCCTTGTGCCATCACCTGGAAATCACTTAGAATTCTTAGAATGTGGCAACTTCATTTAATGGCTCGTGAGTCTCTGCTGAATGTCTCTTGCTCCTCTCAGAAGCTAGTGAAGAGCAGCACCCAGGGCTTATGCTCTCTGTCCCTGTCAGTAGTACAGGGCCTACTGTAACCCCCATACCCTGGCAGAGTGGAACTCTGCAAGGACAAACTACACAGATGGTGGGCCCAGGACGTCTGGTTCTGTCTTCCACAGAGAAGGAGAGAAACGGAGGGCTGAAGCACGCCTGGAAGTGTCCACTGTCTCACTGTATTCCCTTTCCCATCTGTTGCTATAAACTGCCCCTGCATGCCAGGACACAGGAGATGGCGATTTGCGGTATAGGAGGCACTTCCATTTCTTCAGAGCTAGTTTGGAAAAAGTCTTTTTTCTTTTCTCTAAAATAAATGCCCTTCTGAGTGGCCAGTAACACCAGTACAATGAGGACAATTGGAAATTTTATGGAGGATAATTAACCTCAATATCCTTGGCAAGGCATTAGATTTGGGGTGGCAAGCTGGAGCCCAAACTAGTAAGTCAAGACTTGTAACTCTCCATAACTCTGGTTTAGTGATGCTATCTTAGGCTGGGCATGGTGGTATATTCATGCCCCTAATCTTAGTCCTTGGGAGGCTGAGGCAGGAAGATCACTACAAGTTCTAGGCTGTCCTGGGCTATACAGCGAGTTCAAAGCCAGTCAGAGCTATATACCAAGAGCCTGTCTCACCACCCTTCTAAAATAAATCACTCTAGCCAGAAGGACTGACACCAATGAATAAGCAAATACTACAAATCAAGACTTTGTGTACTTGAGAAATAGTTTACTAGCATTTACTAACAACTACAAATGGTTAAGAGTCCATTTCTAAATTAAGCTTCTGCTGCTGTGTGAGATAAAAATATCTCACTGGGCATGGTGCACATGCCTGTAATCCCAACACTCTGTGTGGCTGAAACTGCAGAATGGAGAATTTGAGCCCAGCCCGGGCAACTTAACAATATAGTGAGACCTTGTCTTAAAAAGTGGTGGACAATCTAGCTCAGTGCAAAGATCCTGGTTCTAAACCCCAGTACAACACATAGACACACACACAGGCATGCATGCAAGCACATACAGAAAGCCATGAACTATTTCATTGTCTTTAAACAGCTACTTCTGAGTATTTGTCGTCAATTAGAATAAAAGATACAAATGAAAAGCTATAAAGAAGAATCTGGACTGCTCTTTCCCATTGAACTTCAACATAGTAAAGCAGCAGGAAAGGAATATCCTGGGATTCATAGGGTTTACTTGAAATCTAAGTTAAAAGCATCGACTCAGAACATCTAACATCATTGCAAAATATTGTTGCTTGTCTCCATTGGAACATATTTTTTTTAAAAAATTGAGAAATGAGTGTCCTAATTTTTTCAATACTACAACTATTTTATTATGTTATATCAACAAGAAGAAAATGAACTTTTGCCTCTCCTCCATATTACTTTACACAAGTGTGGTAAAACCAGTGCTATCATGAAGTCTAACATGTTTTTGCTCAGTTGTCCTCCAATTACTTTTCTCAACACTTGCCCTGATCATCTGAATAGTTCGAAGCCGACAGGGCAGCATTGAAGACATTAGTAGGCAGATGAACCAGAAAATCTCAAGATCATGCATTTTAAACACTCTAGCTACAGCATCATTAAAAATAAACAAACCAAAAAGACTCAAAATAACCCAAAGACTTGATCTGAACAACAGGTGAACCATTTCAAAGTTTTTTCTTAGTGTTCCTGATTAGTCAGAAAAGTCTGGAAACTTGGCCAGGCCAAAGATATAAATTCAAAGTAAAATAGTAAAGAATGGAGCTTTTTCTTTTCGAAAGATTAGCTCAGAGATGAACGTAGCCTAAGACATTAATCAAGACTTCAGGCTGTGCTTTAAAAAGGTATTTGGCATGTTACCTGCTTTAGTACAAAGAAATAAATCAAATTGATGAGGAAATCTTACCATTAAGAAGGTAATATATATGCAGCCCCAAATAAATTTCTGAGGAGAATAAACAACCAGATTTGTTTTAAAAGATAAAAGAGGGAAAGGTAGTCAGTTTAAGAAGAAAAAAAAAGAGAACAGAGTAAGCAGCAGTGCTTCAGACTTGTGTCTGCTATCTTTTCCAAAGTCAAACATTTGCTCTACTGAAACAGTCATGGTGACACCAACAGGAAACTGTGACTTCAGCTTATACATCCATAGGGTATAAGCTGCCCATCAGCAGTGCATTGGAAAGTAACCACAAGTTGGTGGAGGAACCATCTAAGGAACAGGTTAGGCTAATTCAGATCAGGGTGAGAGAATGGGAAGAGGGAGATCCTGTTTTTAGAACTTAGAGGGTTTTGTTTCCTATGAAACAAGTTCAAACTTGAGCTTTAGAACTCCAATAACCCCGATATAATTGTCATTCGAAACAACATGTATCTTCCCACATCTCCCAAGAAGGGAGAGAGAACACCAGTCACAAGGCTGCCACCGCGGAGGCCTTTCTCATACCGCCTCAACTTTCTCATTCTTGGTTTCAAAGCTCAGTTTGAAATCATCTCAGTGTTTTCTAAACATCCCACAGCTTTTCCAAACCACCCCAGAGAATATTATGACTTAGGCTTCACAGATACAAACAAAGCCACTCCCGGGAGGTCCAGGGTGCATGAGTGTGAGACTCGCATAGACCGTGTCCCGGGCGGAAGCCGGCTGAGCCCGGGGCAGGGAGGGCTGGCAGCTGAGGACGGTCCCCGGGCCCCACACGCCCTTCCAGAACAGAGACTGCCTTGTACCCCAGGGTGAGAGGGAGGAGGAGGAGGAGGAAGGTGTGGAAACCATATGGTCGCCCCTCAGACAACACTCCCAGCCTTTATCTTCTTGAACCAGGCTGTGCCAAGGACAGTACAGGCTCCCCTTGCTCTCCAGTCTCTTTACAAGATGCAAGGTCCTGCCGCGAACAGCAAGTCTGTATAATACAGCAATGCAAAAAGAGCCATATGGGACATTAGTTTTAGAAGAGGAGACAAAAGAGAAAAATAAAGGTGTGCAGGTATTCAGTGCCACTTCTAAAAATCTCTCCTGTAAAAGTCCTTATTCAAGTCAAAATACCTTTATTTCCCTTTATCTTTCTAAACAAATCTGATTATGTTTTCTCTCAAGGTTTATTAGGGGCTGCATATGTGTGTAATTTTATATTTTTTATAGTAAGATAGCAGTTAGCTTGAGTTACTTTTTTATGCTAATACAAGTAACATTCCACATAGCCTCCTGAAAGCCAGGTCTGGGGTTACGACTCCATCTCATAACTATCACAGTTAGTCTCCCCTTCCCTGTGTGCTCTGTGCCCTTGCAAAAGGAGAGTCGACACAGAGGTAGCAAAGCTGCAAATGCCAAGTGCATTAGACAGTACATGAAGAGCAAAAGGAAATCTTCTAAAATGCTACCATCTTGACCAAATGTCCATGACAGTTCTCTTTTTTTTTCCAGCAGCACATACACTAAAATTTTCTGCCATGTCAAGGAACTACCAGATTCTACTGGAAAATCAGTTATTTTCAAAAGTGAACAGTCTTTCCCCCCATACTGTTGGGATTTTCTTTATAACTTAAATGCATTGTGAATACTTTTTACTCCTGGCAGTAATTTTTGTCAGTTTGTTTCTATTGCCTTATTTAAGAGATACTCTAATGTTTTAAGGACTCATAAAAAAATGGTGCTGTTTGATGTATCACTAATTGTCCAAGTCCTCATCAGTAAAAGCTATCAACCTGTTCTTTCCTGGCCCTTGTTCACTAAGCAGTATTTCACGAGTCATCAAGGGAGCAGTGAACTCTTACTTTGGAAGTTTTTCCAGCACAGTCTTCAGTTCTTCACATATAAGCTTGACAAGTCCATTCTTTATGTTACTGTATGAAACATCAATCATGAAGATAAAGGCTGGTGGATTCGGAGGCTTATTTTTCTGTAGGAAAGTAAACATCACATAGATAGATATAAAGTCAATGTATTTCATAATCAAATTAAAACACACTAGCAACTCTTAAAGTTATCAGATGTTTCATTTAATATTTGGATACAACAGCTGTGGAATCAAATTACTTTCTAAAACATAGACTCTGATGCTATAAAAAAGATAAAGGAAGCCATTTATTTTCCAGGATATGATCTGAATCAGACAGAATTAAAACATTTAGCAGAGAAGGCTCACTTTTGCAAAGTTTCAAAGACTTCATTACTACAAATTCCCAAAGTTCTATATTGTGGCCAGCCTTGCTATTTTAGAAGACAAAATGTGTTTGAAACCGTGAAAAATTGGACTAACACAGAGTATATGTAATAATTAGCATTTCTTTTTGAAGCTGCTATAAAACCTCACTAATTTAGACATCGCTATATTCAATTCTCTTCTTTTATCACCTTCAGTTTTAGACATGAAATGGCATGCTAAATAACTGCATACTTTAAAATCTTGTATCTTAGCTTAATTTATTTTATATTTATGGTAAGATGGCCTTTTCTGTGTGTGTTTAAAACAACTACTGTAACATAAAGCAGCTGCTATGAAAATGGTTTCTAGCAACCCATGTGTCTTTTCTGGCTGGTGTTCAAATAGCTCTTAGGAAGTAGTTCTTCAGTTAGGACTTTCAAAATATTTAGAAAAGAGAGCCTCAAGCAAACAGCGTCAGTGACCAAAACTAGAGAATAAAGAGTTAAGGCCAAATGAACTTTAACTTTATGATAAATTGTAAAAATGCTCTAAAGTAAAATAGTTTATTATAAAATCAGATGACAATATCTATAAATTATCTTACTGATTCATTCTATAGCTACTAGGAGGTAAAAACAGAACACTGTTCTAATAATAGTCCTTTTTTTGAGAAAAGATCTCACTATGTAGTTCAGGGTGGCCTTGGACTCATTATGGAGCCTGGCTGGCCCTGAGTTTGAGGTAATCCTCCTGCCTCACCTTTCCAAGTGCTGGGATTACAGACATGCACCAAAGGGGGGTTATATATCTCACCTCAAAGTCCTTCATTTTAGATTTTAAAATGTTGGAAGACATAATCATTAATTTGAAATTTTCATCACTTTGCCATATCCAAAATCAGAATGACAAAGAACTGAAGGAACTCTAATTCCACATAATTTTTATTGCAAATAATTCCTGATTCCCATCAAATCTATCTCATAACATAGATTACGACAACTTATATTAGAGGAAAATAATCATTTTCGTTAATTGAATCCAAATCTCTTTGTGACAAACCCCAACGTGTTTTACCCTTGCATTCTCTCCTACAGTGAATGTAATCAACTTCCCACTGAGCACTGTCCGCGTCTCCAGCCTGCACATGTGTCCGGGAACACTTCACTGTAATTTGTTTTCTACATAGGAAAAATTAATTTATCATTCTCCAAACCATATTCTCCTCCAGTTTCTCTATTAATATCAATGATATCACTACATCACAACTCTTTAAAACTTGAAATTAGATACAGCAGGTCCCTTTCCTCAATCACTGATTTCTATTGATTCATCTTTGAAAACAATTTTTTCACAATGTTTTACATCTTTTCCACTCTTAAACATTTGAAAGTTTATCATCTTGTATCTTGATAACTAAGGACTACACCAGTAACTTCCTTACACTAATATTCTACCCAATCAGTCCAGCTAGTTTTGCCAGCCAGGGTGAGCATGTAAGCCCTCCTCTCTTCCCTCAACATGAGCTCCGTCATGGAACGCATAATTCCATTGTAACCAGCACTCGGACATCAAACTCACTCCTCCTGGCTTCCTTCTGAGCTGTAATCTACCATTCCATTTAACTGTAGCACACCTCCACAGAAAGATCCTCCCAGCACCTCAGATTCAAACTTTTAGAAGTTATGACCTACTATACTGGTGAGGAATTTAAGAAACCAGGATCTCAAAATAATCCAGGCTTAAGATCTCACTTCCCCCATGGAACTCTCCATCTCAATTACCATCTGCATCCAGCTAATTATGAAGCTTTTGTGAACTGTCTCCTGCCAGTATCTGAATCTAGACCCATATTCTTTCTCTTTTATTATTCTTTATTTTACCAGAGGTAAAATAATAAAATAAGCTCATACAAGTTATCATAACCAGTTTTTGTTTTTGTTTTGTATCAGGGTTCAAACTCATGACCTCACACTTGCCAGGTAGATTCTTATGCCACTGAACTAAATCCTCAGCCCCACAGAATCATTTTTAAGTGTACAGTTTGGTGGTGTTGAATACATTCACAAGGTTACACTACCATCACCCTCTCCAAAACTCTTTTCATCATGAAAAACTGTACCTCTTAAATAACTTTCTATCCTGCCCCGTCTCTAGCTCGTCTAGCCCACCATTTGACTTCCTATCTGTAAGAATTTGACTACTTCAGATACTTTATATAGAGTCATCAATTTATCTTTTTCATGGCCAGCTTATTTCACTTTGCATAATACCCTCAACATTCCTTCTACTCTGTACCATATGTCACTTTTTTTCTTTTTAATAATCCCCTCTATGCACATGCCACATTGTGTTTATTAATTTATCTATTTATAGACACTTGTTTGCTTTCACATTTGAGCTTCTGTGAATAATCCAGCTATGAATGTGGATGTGTAAACATCTTTTTGAGCCTCTGCTTTCTATTACTTTACACAATTTGAAGTAGACTTTCTGTACCACACAGTAATTTTATTTGTAGGTTCTGGGCATAGTGTCACACTATTCTCATCTTCTCCCACTTGGGCCATCACATTAACCTTGAACATGCCCTTGTCTCCAGCCTCTCTCTTCTCATAAACAGTGTATCACAACGCTACCTCCCTGGAGAACAGGAAATTTACTGAGTTCCCAGATCCTAACAGAGTATGACACCAAAAAAGAGAACTTACTGACTGTTGAGTGAACGCTTGTGTGGACGGATGGATGCATGGACACATGATGAACAGACAGATGGATGAATTAATGGGAATTAAAAACTCTCTCTTCACTTTTAACTGTACTCATGGACTACTGAATTAAGTTTTTCTATATCCTGTCATTCAAGATGCTTGAAAACACTCAAGCATATATATGTTGTTATATATGTTACATAACAACATATATAAAAACCTAAGAGATCAAAGATACGGTGCTAGACTCAGCGGAAAATGAGATAGACTGCATCTCAAAACAATTTTCTGGACTTACTGCTCACTCTTTCTCAATATACATTCTCCCAATTTAAGTGCCTGTCGTTTTCAAAACATTTCTTGTTCAGAAGCCACAGCCTAGTGGGCTTGAACCAAGAATTCAGCTGGGAAAATGTTTTATTTGGCATGATGTTTTTAAAAATACTTGAATTTGAATGCATTTTGGGAGAGAGGGGAATAGTCTCCAATTTCCTGGTCCCCACATTAGATCCATGCTACTCATCCACAAAGGCTGCCCAGCCTCTGAAGAACACAGTCAAAACCTTGTCAAACCACCTCTGCTCCTTGTTCAGCCTCCGCTTTCATTTCCATGGATTAGTTTTGTACTCCTGGCTTAACCAGCTCAGTGTTACTGTTTTCTCCATGTTTTTCCTATCCTTTTTTTTTTTTAACAGCAGTCTGATTATTCTTTTTTACCTTTATAATTTGCACCATAATTGAGTTTCTATCATTATTTTATCTTTCTTACCAGGCATACTGATGGTAAATATCATTTGAAAATGTTAATCATCTTGCTAATTTTGGTATCCGTCACAGCACACAGACAAGTGCCTTAGACATGTTAAGCATGCACTAAATTTCAAAATGAGTTAAAATTCATTCAGAAAACAAAAGGATAGCATGTAACGAGACTTTACATTTCAGGTACACTTAATATACAGACATGGCCTGTAAATTTAAAACCACCAAACTCTTAGTTGTGTGATGAGCTGAGGTGCCCTTGATCCAGGGAAACTCCTTGGTGGTTGTTCTGTGTAAAGCCTGCCTACATACCCTCAGTGCAGTGACAGGAAACGGGGGGCAGTGCCCCACAGACACAGTTTCAGTTTGGCTCCCTTATTTCTACATGGATGGGCCGAGGCTGGTTCTCAAGCTCTCTAAGATTCCTTTCCTCATTTCCTGGTGGTGCTCACTGCACTGGGCTCACGGTGAGAATTAAACCATCGAGCACCAGAAACTTGCAGCACAGACCCTGACAAACAGGATGTTAGCATGAATATCTAAAAGTGACTTGGGCCAACTAAAATAAATAGAAAATGGAATTTTATCAGTCTCCTTTTGGTGCATCTTAAAAATAAGCACGCAAATCTTTTTTCATCATTCAAATCCCTGAGTCAACTCATTATTCTACTTTATTTACATTTTGTATCATTATTAAATTCAAAGCTGTTTATAGCAAATTAATTACTAAGTGTACTTGGAAAAAATAAAAGGAAGATTAAGCTTACAAAAAAATCTTCTTCAAAACGTATAATTTTTATTTGGCTCTTTGCTTCCTGGGTGACATTTCCCATCCATTAGATTTCTGTAATATTTCCAGATAACAGAGTTTGAAAATTCTAAGATTTTTGTTCCCAGAAATAGATTTGACTTTCTGCCTAAGTTTCTGCTAAAAAAGCATAAAATCAAGATAACATAGGCTTTTTCAGAGAACTGGAAACTTAGAGCTTGATAAGCATTTTTTAAGAACTTGATAATATGCAACTTTGTTGCATATGAGTGAATAAATTTTTCACCAGTAGTTACAATGGCTTTATCGTATTTATTTTTAATGAGACCATCAAATGTTTATGTTTTACTTTCTGCTACTGCTTCTGGCAATAGGAGGAAGGAAGAAACTCCCCAAATGAAACTCTACTTCAGGACATGCTTTTTGCTTGAAATGAAGCATTTGCATCAAAAATGATTCTATATATCCACAAATATGTTCAAACATTTTAAAACAATAAACCACTTTCTTTAGTAACTAGTTACATGTAATGTATTCCAAGGCAATCATATTATACACTAAAATAAATGTTAACTGAAAAAAAATTCAAGTCACCTGAAGAAACTTCAAGTTGAACAAATATGATCTGTTCTCAATATAATCCCCCAGAAAATATCTACGGAAGAAGTCTGTGGCCCAGAGGCTGTTTCTGGGAAGTGAAGTATTAGTAGGCATTCATTTTTGGAAAAGAAAGTAAGGAAATATACAACAGGATGCTACAGATACAAGATGAAATCTGAACTGAGGCCCAAGGAGTATGATTTTCACATCCCTGAACAACTGTAAAGCTCCAAAAGGCTCCCATAATGACGTAATCATGAAGAAAGGAAAAGACCAGTCCTGGGAAGAGTGATACACCTGCAAATTTACTCATTCATTCATTTTTTCCACATATATCAGTCAACTGCCTACCTATTCCAGATACTGTGAAAAATGTCACAAAGATGACTAGGACAGGACTGGGGCCATCAAGGATATCAGAATCTATAAAGAGTTTATGGTACGAACCTAGGGCCTTATTCATGCTAGCAAACTAGAGCAGTGGGCTACAGCCTCAGCTTTTTATAAGAATTTTTGTTTCAACTTTATTTTTAGGTAGCATTTGCTCAGTCACTTGCCTCAAATCTGTGACCTTCTTGTCTCAGTCTCCCAGAGCACTGGGATTACAGGGTAGTGCTGCCACAAACAGCTGAAAGTTTAATCTTTTAACTTGGTGTTTTAGACAAGAAAAAAGAGAAGGGAAGAGAAGGATAGAGGAGAGGAAGCAAAAAGGAGATAAAAAGAGAGGAGAGGAGAAGGGAGGAGGGAAGAGGAGAGGAGCAGACGAGGTTTACAGGAGAGTCTTATGGTTATATTTTAGAAATCCCGAGACCACGATCCAAAACCACTGCTGGTATGGGAACCACTCACTGGTCCTACTGACCATACTGGTTTAGCTTCACTTTGGCAAGGAAATTTTTCTGAGATAACTGACAAAACAAGCCCGGCAGAGGCCCTCTATGGATTTGTTCCATTAAGGAGCCCACATAGTCTATGTGGAAAAGACAAAACAATTACTGTTTCTTATTTCTGGCACCATCTTTCTGATTTTAAGAATGATTACTCCAGTGAATGGTTTGACAATCGAATCATGGTAGCAATACAGAAGGCTGGATCTGTGTCTTGGGCATTTCTATGTCCTGCTGGCACCACCGAGAGGCTTTGTTTATGAACCAACGGTCAGGTCAGCCCTTTACATATGAAAGTCATTCACTTGAATTTGACATCAGTGCATAAACATTTGAAATCCTGGGAACACTTACTCTGCAGTAATCCAAAGTAGCAACGAATTCATACGATCCTAAAGATAGCTCAGGCTTCTCATAGTGGTCCAATCTTCTTCCAATGTGGTCCAGATGTTGGAAATAGAATGGTGGAACTAATAAAAACAAAACAGGAAAGGCGATCTTTTGTTTTCACAAACTAAGAGCAATTTAATAAATTCTCAAAATTTATTATGGAAGGGAGTAAGTATAAAAGAAAAAGTACTTTAAAGCTAAGATAGAGTATATTCTAAGTATGAACTATTTTAAATGCATGTTTTGGAAAGTATGAAGGTTTTCTTAACAATCTTCTTGACCTTTTTACAAGTTATTGATGACAAAGAACAGCTATGATTTGAAACATCCTAAAGAAACCAGATAAAAGTACTGGTGTTTTAAAGTCATCATGACCCGAATATTTAATTGTCCCTGTTTAACCACCTTTTAAAAAAAAAGAATTCTGAGTTTTCCCATCTGAGCTTTCAATGTACCTAACAGGGATAAACACTGATTACTGGGACTGTACTATTAAGTACAATATTTATTACATGCTAATGCAGAAACACCTTCAGCCATGGGGAGTGCGCACAGTAATCTTTCAACATTCGGGCTTAAGAGTGCAGAGGATTACTGTATTAGGGAAAAAGCAGAGTGCCAAGATCTCAGCTGAAGAACTCTAATTTGATTCAAATACTCAGAAGGTTAGTTCTGGCAAAGACCTGGAAGTCACCCAACAACACAGCAACACTTATGAGTCACATACTGCGCTCTTGGACAAATAAGGCCTGGTATCTCTGTGAGGAAGAGCTTCTGTTGCCTGGAGATTGAACGGGCGGGCTATGCAATCCCTGCCAATACAAGTATTTTAAAAAACTGGCAACGTTCTTTGTTTAAGCATTGTGTAAAGAACAACATTTCTATTTGCAAAAGTCATAAAAGCAACTTTATTTTTAAATCAACAACTCAAAATTATTATTTTGTGACACTAACAAGAGAATTACAACAGGACTCATTTTCGAAGCTGGACTTTGTAAAAAACCAGAAAAGCTTGGCTTTTCTGCATTCTTACTGTATTTAGGCCATTTCTTTTAAAATAAACTTTATGAGATACATGTTTACATACGAACTTGGGAAATTCAATGTCTTGAAAAGATTACAGAAGTGGAAATGGACAGTCTGCCCTGAGTCCATAAACTGCTGTTCTGTGCCTTTCAGAAGAGATGCAGGACCCTGGGCTGGCTGCTGTGGGCTGTATGGTACAGCAAGTTCTACACAGCACAACTGGTAATTTGTTCACATTCATACATCTTCACAAAGTATGTAAACGTTTGCTTTTAAAATTTTATATTCATTAAAATGTAATGTTTTCATTAATATTTAACATTACCTGTCTTCTTTTATATGCCAAAATTCAAGGCAAGCCACGATCTAGGCATTGCCATATGAACTGTCTTGTCAGGGCTCCCACTGGGCACCCTCTAAACACTGCAGATGTTTTTCCCAGTAAACGGCTGGGCCTGTCAAGGTCCTGAGCTATGTGTGAACGGTGAGTGAGTGTGTATGTTTCTCTGTGTGTGAGACACCAAATTAAAGATCCCTCATGCAGTATATGCTGAATAAGTTTTTGATCACCTGCCTAGGAAAGCTAAGAGCTTGGGTGAGACACTGAGGAGCTGGTGGACTTGTTGGGAACTGTATCCATATGCTTTATGACTCCCCTGCCCTGTCCGCAACAAAACACTAAAAACCTAACAGCCAAAGAGATCAACTGTCACAGGGCTCCTGAAGTCCAAGTGCCAAATTGAACGATAACGAAGGATTTGGTCACCGATTTCATCTAGAATGAGACACCCGTATCATCTGTCTTGTCAGGGCTCCCCCTGACAGGGCAGCCTCTAAACACTGAAGAAGAAGGGTGGAAAACTAACAGACTTTGGTCTCACTGTGACCTCCAGTGTGCATTAAGTAGACGCTGCAGTTGGCAGTGGAGAGGCTTCCCAAGCAGCCCAAGGCATGGCCTTGGCGATGTGGGCCAGAGACCACTTCTTTCTTCTTCCAGCAAAGCAATTTTAAGCAGTGACCGGCTCACCAGGCCAGTCTCTGCCTTGCGACACTAGAGAAGGTTGTGGGCTGTGTGTGCTAAGAGGCAGGACAACAAGGAGATAGCAAGGAATGCGCAGAGCCAAGGGGCCAGGAATGCGATGACACTGACAGCAAAGTCAGACGTGGTGCACGGCAGCCGGGTGCATGCGTCCTCCAGACAGAACCGCCTGTCTAGGACAGTAAGGAACAGAGGGACAGCCACGAAGAGCTCACCTTGTAACCATCGCCCGGTTAACGACACAAATGTGAGCGTGGGAATGAGCTCGGCCTGAGCACGCTATTTACTAACGAAGAAAAGCTGAGAAACGCGAAAAGAAAGAACTCGTTGGCAAGTTTGCAGTGTTTTCAACATGTGAATTCATAAAAGGATAAAAAAGTGAAATTATAATGAATACAGGAAAGTGCTTCATAATATTGCTTCTGTCTCCGAAAGAGGTTCAGCGTTTCTATCAGAGGGGAAAGTCTGTAACACGTTACAGCATCTCCTAAATATCACTGTGCACCTATCCAACAGCTGAGAAAAGTCTCTAGGGTTTATCACCTGTAAACACCAGAGGCTTTTTGCTTCCAGCTGAGACTCTGTGGAAGGGGACTAAAGAACAAATCCTTCCCTTTGCCCTGCACTGTCAGTTTACTTTCAAGTGAAGAAACAGCACCACTTCTCTGTGGAGCTCCTGCAGCTTGTAAAGCCACGAGGGCCGTGGAGTTCCCAACAGGGAACGTTCTACTCAGTTTCCTTCTGGAGAGATTATAAAAAGGTTACAGCTACCTAGGGAAAAAAACTGTTTTCCCCTAAACCAGGAAGCATAATATATTTTCTTTTTAAGTAAAGCACCTTCACATAGAGCATTTAGTGGCACACTTACCATCGTTCACACAGTTGCAAAACCCACACTGGTACCTCCTTCCTCCCTCGATGAACTGCATGAAGGGGCACATGTAGGCCTTGCACCTGTTACATCGGACTGGCCCACTCTCTCCATGATTCACCAGGTAAAGCGGAGTCTGCAAGAAGCAAGCGAAATGAAATGAACAGGTTGGTGTAGTACTGCCGTTTTGTAATTAAAATTTGAAAAGTCTTCTAATGGCACTCATCAAGGGACTTCCAGCAGCTGACCTTTGCCTGGACAGCTGATGCCCCTGTTGATGACTTCAAGGTAGTACAAGGCTATCCACAACAGCCAAACAAAAGTAAACTAAAAATGTCATTTTAAAGTATGTACTCATATGTTATGTCCTTGTTCATATGTATATTTACTTATCTGAATATGAAAAAAGGAGAAAGAAAACATAGTATTACCTAACTACCCTTATGCTAAAATGTGCTGGTATCTTATTTCTTACATTTTCTAAGTTTACTTATAAACTACAAATAAAGAAATGAATTGGTTTGCTTTTAAAAGCCCTAGTATTGCATAGCCATATGCTGTTTATGTAGGTTTTTCAACGTACACAAAATATTTCTTCAAAAATTCAACTATCTGAAGAAACATGCAAGGATATCTGCTTATTAGGCCAGGAGCTGGCTTGTGCCTCTCTCTGATTTTATCAAATGTCAGACTGTTTCTGAGACTTTCAACGTGGCTGGTCGTGCTTTGCTAGAACCAAAAAAAAAAAAAAAAAAAAAAAGCATAACTGAATTGCGACTTCTGCATAAACACATGTGCAAAGCATTATATGTCACATTTGATAGTGAAAGGCTAGGCATTACAAAGAAAGGTAAGAAAAAGAAAGTTGCCTAGTTTCTCAATACCTCCAACTTTTCAGAATAAAACCACAAAGATCCATCTTATTTTATAAATCTCCTAAAGATAACATTTTTGAAAAGCTTGAGAACTACAGGGTTTGGCATGTCAATTTAAAAACAAATTAAAGATAAACATGTAAATAAAGCAGTCTGCCCTTTAATGGAGGCCACAGAACAGGAGGCAGGAGGATGGGGCGAATGGAGGGAGGTAGGGCCTAGGGGTCGGGGCACTTTCTACTGAGGCCTTAGAAAACTGAGATGCGCTGTTTGTCCTTGTGCAGATGTTTCTTGTGAAAACGGATCCACTGCTGAGATTTTAGAAATGAGCTAGGTCTCAGAGCAAGACAGGTGTTGGGGGGCAGGGGTGAGATTTAGTACAGTACACAAAAGAATCTGAGAAAGGATAAAATAAATACATTTAGAATCCTAGTTTATGGTCTGCAGATCCACTGCATGGACACAGCTCTGCGGCTGCACTGACAGGGTTGGGGTCAAATAATGTGGGTTGTGCAGCACAGAGCAAAGTCAGGTACAAATGCTTGGAAAAGGCAACTGTTACAATTTCTGCAGAACAATCTGTACTCCTTCAAAACCACTCAGCTCAGGAAAGTGTCATTAACAGGAGGGCTGCTGCAGAGTAAGTACAAGATGGGCAAAGTAAATATGAGTTCCTGTTACTGCAAAATGTTGGATGGTAAAATGATCCAGAAGAAAGAGGATTTACCTTTCAGGAGATTTTGGAACAATCTAATCATTAAATTGAAAAGCAGAACAGATTTTTTTAAATGCTAGGAAATGTTTTAAATATATATTCACACACTGACACCTACAGCTCTCTTTTATACAAACCTTTGATTTGAAAGGCATAAAAATCTTCTCTTTAGTTGATAGCAAGAAATGATGTGAGAAGACGACAGAAACAAAAAGATGCAGGTATGAAAAAATGATGATGATGATGATGATGATGATGATGATTCTTTGGACAATAAATGAAGAATACGAGTAAGAAGTGAAAGATAACAAAAATATATTGATCAGGTAGCTGTTTCCGGAAGGACAGTCTAATTAGCAATTATGCCTGTGGTTACTGTTCGGATCTACGGCTTCAAAACCTCTGAGATGGGTAATGTTTTCAGAAGTTGAAATAGGGAGAAGTTCTGCAATTTGCATTTATTCCAGCCAACTTTGCTTTTACCATTATTTGATTTTCATAGAGTTCAAAGACCATAATCAATACTCTGAGAGATTTTAGAAACAAAAATGGCACAATTATTTGACAGAAGAATCAGAAGTAATGCAAAGAGAATTGCCTTTATTTTTACTGCCATGATTTGCTCAACACAAGCCCAGCCCCAAATTACTATAAATTGTCAGCAACTAACACCTAAGCATTCTAGCCCTGGCAGATTCCAACTTGCAGAACTGAAAGTGAATGTCTAGCAATAAACTGGAGTCAAGTCTAAGACTATATCTAGGCTATTAAATACTTTCTTTTTTCAATTTTCACTCTTTTGGAAAGCAGATGATAGGTAGGTAAGGTTTTCAGATAATCATGGTGACAGCAAAGAATGTTAAAAGCTTTTTAACTGTTTATATTTTATTTTGGGGCACAGCGCAAGGGTTTCTAAGTGAAGCTGTCTTGTTTCATCTCTCTCAGGCCGTGTTGAAAACTATCAGAGATTTGTCTTTGCTCTCTGCAAATGTCTGCCTGCCTACGGAAGTGTGCATGAGCTCATAAACAGACTGAGCTCACTTCCATGCTGCATGTGATCTTAGTGAATACCGTGCAGCCTTTCTTGAATAATCAAGTCACTTTCCAAAAAGTGCCCTAAAAATGCCACAAATATGCCTCCCCCAGGAGCTCCCTGGTACTCTTTCTGCCTTCTTTCCCTTATGAATGTGAAAGGGAGAGGATGGTGAGCCTGGCTCTGAAGTCCTCATAGGCTATTCTTAGCTCCGGCTCTGTGCAGCGTGAGTTTATACAACATGAAAGTGCTGGAGAGCCGGGGAAGATGGAGGAGGAGGAGATATTTAAATCTCTTATTTCTGGATCAATAAGGATGTGTCAAATAATATACTGGTATTAATTTTTATTAAAATACTGTAACTGAACAAAATATACCTCTTTTGTGCATATACAATAAATAGCATGGTCCATTTTGGATCACAAGTGGAAGTATTATTGATTCAGTATGGAAATGATTATTGATTTAGTATGGAAATGATGCTTAAAAAGCAAAATGACTTTTGCTTAATGCTTTATATAAAAGAAGTAACTACACCAACTGAGCCTGGTGGTGCAGTCCTGTAATCCCAGCACTCTGAAGCAGGAGTTCAAGCCAAGCCTGGGGAACTTTGTGACTTAGTAAAATTCAGTCTCTAAACAAATAAGTTACTTAATTTAAAAATAGAGCTAAGGACATAGCAAAAAATTAAAAGGAAGGGAGAAAGAAAGAAACTACTTATGTTTTATGTTTTCCTATTTTAACTTATTATAGTTTTTAATATATTACCAGTTTTCAATCTATCAGATAACGTAACACTTGCCTAGTGGACACGCTGTTTGGCTTTCTGGCCTGACCGTGCAGTGCGATACAAACAAGTTAACAAGCACATGTACGTGCAATTAAAAGAACAGGGTATGACTAGAATGAAGGCTTTCCCAAGCAACAGTATCAGAAGATATTTTTAGCTTCAAAAGGCAATGTTAAAGTAGTCACAGACTGTATTTCCAAAACAAAAGCAGATGCTCAAAAAACAAAAAACCCTGAAATAGAATGTACAAAGACCCATTAGCAGAATTTTTATAAAGCTTTTGTATTTTTGTTTTGTCACTTATATTGTTAAGAGAAGTCTCAATATATAAATCTAGCTATAGACTTTCGGTTTTAGTACAGTGGAACTACAGAAAGCAGCTAAATACCAAAGCTGGAAAGCCAAAAGTATGAAGATGTTTTAAAGGGATCAGCCCAGTAGGTGGCACTGTGGAACTAAAAATTAAAACAAAGCTGCAGCTAATGTATCAGTGGGTTACACAATATGCCTGATAATTATGCTGCATTTATTTTATGTAACTCTAGCAACATTTAACCGAGCTAATAGTAGCAACTATCATCACAAAATTAAGAAACTTAACCTTTTATTAAAATTATTCAACCTATGATTAATAGTTTAAAATAGTCTAAGTGAAACAATGAAATTAAACAACATGCAACAGGTTATTTTGTGCGCAAATTAAATACACGCCAGACTTACTGAGGTACTGATGAGTAAGGAAAATGCATTTAAAATGCTTCTAATGCTCTTCAGATTCTTCTTTGTGTACATGTAGGAAAATGGGAACACTGGTAGGCCAGGTGGCTACAAAGTACAGCAGGCAACTTAAAAATGGCCTGAGAAGCAAGGGCACCGGTGTCACCATCCACCCCTCTCTCAGGGCAAAACAACAAATCAACCACGGTGATGCCTGCTGAATCGTGGTACAACACGCTGTGAAAAAGAAACGGTGCTTTACTGTGAGCTCCATCTTCCTAGTGGAATGTCAAGTTATAGCAACGCTGGTGACACTGGCGCAGGGGACACAATGGCCAAATTCCAGGTCTGAGGTGGACCTGACTCTAAGCCATCTATGACAGGATTCAGGATCCTGCTGGGTGAACTGCCCGCGCGTCCCTCCCTTACACTTTAGAACTAACCCTTATGGGGCTGGGGATTTAGCTCAGCGGCATAAGCGCCTGCCTTGCAAGCAGGCAGTCGTGAGTTCGATCCCTGGTACCGATAAAAATGAAAAAAGACAAAAAAAAAAAAAAAAAAAAAAAAAAAAAAGAACTAACCCTTATACAAGCACACACACACACTCTCTCACCTATTTTCTCACCTACTTCCCCCTCTCTTCTAACACTCATGTATGAATTTTGAAAAAAACCCAGACATTGTCCACTTTAAATTACTCTTCTCTCTTTTCTCTTATTTCCTCATCACAAGTCTGAGGAACATTAGCAGTGTCCTGGCTGACATCACTAATACCCTATCTTGCTGTCTACCTGAAGGAAACAGTGAGGTGATGGAATAGAAGATGAGAATATGCAACGTCAGACTTGCCAAAGTGTGACACAGTCCTCCGGCCTGACAAAGGATCCTATTCAGTATCAGATTACCCTTCCCAGATTACCCTTCGCAGTCCCTATGTGTCCCTAGCAGCTGTGATTTCATATGATCAGCGTGACTTTACACACATCTCTTTCTTGGGGTTGGAACC